CAAGTACATTAGAGAAAAGAGGAGGCTAACTGAAAGATGAGGGTTTTATCAGGGCATTAGCAAAAAAGAAATAATCAAGTTTTTAATCTAGTATGGAATCTCATGAACTTTGTTACTTTTTTAATGGAAAATATAAATGTTTGAGCTGAGCGGGAAATACTATCAAGACTACTTCTATGGTACATCTCTTTCATAAACTCAGACCTCCTTTTTTAAAATTAATATGATCTGTTTTGAGACTATCGGTATTACCAAATTGCAAATTCTTCTGGAATTCAACTAGTGAAAGTATCTCTTGAGCTGGATCACAGGGATGTTTTTGTTTTAACTTCCTCATATAGGACTGCCCCTTAAAAATTGTTATATGTGTGGTACTCCAGCAAAAGCCAGATATACCGAAGAAATTTCTGAAAAGATGGCAACTGTTACTAAAGGCCACCTGAAGCTGAATAGTGGAAGTGCTGGTGCCAGTAATGGTGTTGAGAGCCAGAACCTATTTTGATTGGGATTTAATCTAATTCGTGTCTTCCTTTTCATTCAAATGATCATGATTTTTTTGGAAGGTCAGTAATGACACAGCAGCAGATCTCCTGTGCAAAGACACTGCTCCATATTACCTGGAAAACTCACATGGAAATCCTGCCTTCTATTCCCAAATTCAGAAGCTGAATTTGGTCCTGTCCACTATTTTTATCAGTAGCGTGTGAATGTCATTAAGACAGATGTGGGATAGAAACATCTTAAAAACAGTGGGGACCTGGCGATCACTATAAACATGTGACTCACTGAATTTTTTTTCCATCCTGTTGTTTTCAGGGAGAATCAGCAGCGGTTACAAGATGACTTAGCAGAGATGATAACCAATAGTCTTCAGAAAAGGGAAAATGAAGGCTCCAAGGCGCGGGAGCTTTCACGGGTAGCCAGCTACCGATCAGGTACTCTGGAATACCTGCAACTGGTCAGCGCAGAGAATTTTACCACATATGTTTAAAACTGAATGTCTAGTATGACTCAAGAAGCTGCAGCAACTCTCTGGAGAACTTCATGTGAAGGCTGAAGGCTTACACTTTCAGCTAGAGGAGAAACAAAGTACCTTTCCAAGCATCCTTTCCACCGTCTGACCTGACATCAGTAAATCAAACCTCTCTTCACCGTAACATTGAAATTGTTGGATGACTTCAGCAGGACACAAGCAGCCTGATTTGAGGTAAATGAAAACATCTGAAACTTGAGTCTGGAAAATAGTAAGGTTTTTTTGTTGAGTTAGTTTTTTTTTAAACTGTGATAGTCTGTTCAATAATCCACTTCTGAAAATATTCACAGTAAAACCTTAATTTGTCATGATTTTTAAATGTATTTAATTTGTAACTTTTAATCGAAGAAAGATTTGCTGTAATATATTTGAAAATAACACCAAATATAACATATGTAAACCCTGGATATGTTGCTATTTTGCTTCTTCTGTTGTTTTCCCTGTGTCTCACATGTTTTGTTTAATTAAGCTGACTTTGTTCAAGAGGCAACACTTCTGTTATTTACATTGGGATGTTACTCCAGAAATATGGCTTCTAAAGCTTATCTGAATCTCCTGGGCCTGAAAAATGAAACTTTCTTTCAAAATGAGACACTTTCATATCTCTTCACCACTTCTGCTTCTGCCCCCAAACCAGAAGTGAAACAGAAATTAAGGAAATAAAATTATCTGAACTTCTCAACCTCAGAATCTTTCAATTCAGTTTTTGGATGCAGTTTCAAAAACCAGCAGGTTTTACTTATTAACTGACACCTTGGCATTTATATTAATAAACAGCTTTAAAAAGCAACAAAAGCACAGGGGACACATGCAAAAGAAAATCAGCATTCATATGAAGTAATAACATCTACCGAGTGAACCTTTGGCGAGGGCCTTTTTGTGCATTGGTGGCTTTCAAAGCATAGCTAATTCTTCCACCGTTGTCCAGTATCGCTCAGTATTCAAACGATAAAACTGGTGCAAAATCATTGGTTTTAAACAGCATTTTTTTCAAGTAAACATAACATTTTAAAAGAGCACGCCAATTCCTGCATTTCTTCTTTGTCAATATAAATTGGCTTTGTAAGAACACACACACAAAAAGAACAACGTAGATGTAAATAGTTACCGAGTGCAAAGATTCCTGGAAAAATTAAATAATGAGGTGCTGAAGGGCTTGTACTCTTGTCTAATGAATGTAAATTCCTACACCCAAGAACATGATAGAGAGAAAGAGCAGAAAATGTGTAACCAACAGCCACAGTTTTCACATTATATGTAACCAATTTTAAACTCAAACTGGCACTACTACCACACTGTCTGCTGTCTGTGATCTAATGGAAGCATTCATTTGAAGGAGGATAGAAAAAAATTATTGGTATTCTAAAACTGGTATGCATTAGAAAGAATATCAGCACAGTAAAAAAGTATTGTGGTGCCAGTCAACAAGCTTTGTCTATTCTTGGGTTTGAGGGCTCTGCTACTGGGCACCACTGGGCTACTGCTGAATCTGATATGCTAAGCAAGTGTAGCTGTAAGGCAGTGACAAGTGTTGGACTCATCAAGCCTGAAGAAGCCCACTGCTGCTACTATCTCAAGCAGAGCTGTTCTGATCTTTGAAGTGACATAAGTCAATTTTTAAAGAGGAGTTTTACGGGATCCATCCTTGACACCTCTGAAATACAAATTATTTTAGAGCAAATAACTCAGCAATGAGTTGATGGACTATCTTCTGATAGGTTTGTTTTCCCCATGGTTCTGTCCCTGCACATATCTGTTACCTATACATCACAATAAAATCAATTTTGACTACTCTTTTAAAAAAATTATTCCTGATTTCAGGTTTGAATCGTCTTAAGATGCAATGTCATATCATTGCATTTTATTATCAAATATTAGATCAAAAAGTGCTCTACCATCAGAAATCTGTCACTGAAGGTCCAGTCATCCACTTCTCCTGGTTGTTTTTTATTCAAGCAATGAAGTGTTATATGAAAAACCTAGTGTGAGATATAATTTTGTTCTCCAAGTGCAAAGGATTTTGACTTCATCACCGTTCATTTGGACTTAACTAACACACACACACAAAAGGTTTTCTGAGAATCCCTGGTCCGGGAGCATTTGGAAGAGAATCTTTCCAAACACCCAACATGACTTTTGTAGCTTTGGGTCGTATTCAGATTCGCTCCTACTTCATTTTTATCATACATAGAATCATAGAATAGTTTGGGTTGGCAGGGACCTTTAGGTACTGGAAGGTGCTAAAAGGAGCCTTCTGTTCTCCAGGTTGAACAACCCCAGCTATCTCAGCCTGTTTTCACAGGAGGGATGCTCCAGTCCTCTGATTGTCTTCAGGGCCCTCCTCTGGACTCGCTCCAACGGGTCCATGTCTGTCTTATGTTTGGGGCTATACAGGCAGGTGTGTTCTCATGAGAGTGGAGTAGAGGGGCAGAATCACTTCCCTTGACCTGCTGGCCATGCTGCTTTTGATGCATGGTTGGCTTTTCTGGACTGCAAATGCACATTGCTGGCTCTTGTTGAGCTTCTTGTCGGCCAAGACCCTAAGTCTCTCTCTAGGCCTGCTCTCAATCCATTCTCTGCTCAGCTTGTACTTGTCCTTGGGATTGCCCTGTCCCATATCTAGGGTCTGCAGGTGGACTTGTTGAACTTAAAGAGATTCACATAGACCCACCTCTCAAGCCTGTCAAGGCCCCTCTGGATATGTCATCCCTTCCTTCCAGCATGTTGACTGCACCACAGCTTGATGAAGGTGCACTCAAGCTAAGTCCATACTGCCAACAAAGATGGTAAACAGCACCTGTCCCCATACCGATTCCTGAGGAACATCACTTGTCACTCATCCACACTCACCTCCTGTTTCAGCATCATGTATTTGTGCTCTCTATCCTAGTTCTCACATGCCTCCAACTCCTGTTTTAAATATCTTTTTTTCTCCCATTATAATCCTATACAGAGAATTCTATGGAAAATATAATTGTCTGTTTTACTTCACCAGCATAGTCAAACTGAGAGAAGCATGTGACAGAGGTGAGTTTCTCATTTGGAAAAAACTTTGAAAAATATTCCTCCAAAGCAAACACACAATCCATTCATGATTAGACACTTAAGAGTTAATTTTCACTGGGGAGGTAAAAAAAAAAAAAAAAAAGTGACAGCACTGTGTTTTATGCTTATCTCTAAGAGCAGTTCAGAACAAAGCAGTGATGGGTATGGAACAATCCCTGCAGCCAGCAGTGGTGTTTCAGTGCTCTTACCCTGGGCTTGAGGCCAAGGCTTGCTACTTGGCCTGAACTGGTTGGCATGCGACCTTGTTATATGAGGCTATTACAGGCACCGGTATCAAATTTGAACTGTCTTAAACAATTACTGAAACACAAAGTCCAAATAAATAGCTCTTTTAGGATAGCGGTAGAATATCCAACACTGGGAGAAACAAAACGATAGTGCCAAAAAAATTATCTCAACCAACGGGGTTCAGACAACAACAGTGCACAGTGCCTAAAAATGATCTGAACCAATGGGGTTCAAGGGAAAACCCCATGAAAAGTTGTTTCTACGTGGAAAACCTAGGAAAAGGTCTCATTTTTTCTGCTGGGACACACAGGACAGTTGCTGTTCCCAACAGGGCCGAAAGCTGCTCTTCCTGTGATGCAAAACGTGTAGTTTGACAAGGCACCACCCTACTCCTGCTGCTTTTCGGAGGCCCTTCCTGATAAACCTTCGCCTCTTTTTGGTTAATCACCACGGAGAAGCCCAGCGGCGCCGTAGGCGCTCGCCTGGGGCCCTCCCCTCAGTGTCTTGCGAGGTCGGACCTCGGCCGGGAGTGACCCCGGCACCAGCCAACCCTTGGGGGCTCCGAACAACTACTGGGTCAAGAAAGATGCCGGCCGCTCCCGGGCACATCCCCACGCACATCCCGGCAGCCGGCGCGGGGAAAAACCGTCGCCCCGCCAGGGCCACCTCCAGCACGGGACACCGCGGCCGGGGCGGGCGCCGGAGGAGGCGGGGGCAGCGCCGAGACCTGCCCTGAACGAGAGAACTTCTTAAAGTCCCGCCGCCTCCCGGCGCTCGCAGGAGCGGCAGGATGGCCCGGCCGGGCGGCGGCGTGTGCCGCTACTGCTGGGGGCTCGTCCTGCTGTGGGTGGCAGCGGGCGGCCGCGCAGGTGAGGCGAGCGGGCGTCGTGGGGGCGGCCGGCACGAAGCCCCCTCGCTGGGGTGGGCGGGACGGAGGGAGAGAGCCGGGCTGCCCGAGCCCCGCGAGTGCCCGCCCCCGTCCCGAGGGTGCCCGGCGGCCGGGAAGGGTAGCCCGGCCCGGGCTGTGCCGCGGCTCCGGCGGAGGCAGCGCGGCTCGCCCAGGGGACCCTTCGGGCTCCGCGCCCCGCCTGGTGCGGCCGCTCCTCGCCGCGCCTCCGCCCGTGCTGCCTGGGACGCGGGTGCGAGGACCCTCGGTCCGGGCGGGGTCTGGTGCCTCACGCCCTGCTCCGGCAGCACCTCGTGCCCCCGCGGCCGGGCAGGGGCGGCCCGGCTGCCTCGTGGGTATTCGGTGCTGGCGCTTCCAAAACATCTTCCCAGTTCCCAAACTAAGGAATCCAACAGATGGGAAGTTACCTTGAGCGCCCACCAGTGCTGGCTTTCAGTGTCATATGCAGGCATGGGAATCATTTAGGATGGACGCTTTGCAGTGGTGCTGTGGCCTATAGCAGTGACTTGAGACTGGAGTGCTGGCTTGTTGGGTACAGGTCTGTGTTTTGGATGTCTTAGGGAATCACATAATGGTTTGGGTTGGAAGGGATGTTAAAGGGATCACCTTGTTCCAACAGTCCTGCTATGGGCAGGGACACAACATCTCCCTCTTCTGCTGCCTTCAGTGAAGGTCTTAAGGGCTGGATTAAGTGCTTATCGTCTGGGAATTTCCGAGTTAATTTATTAATTGCCACAAAACAAGGAGAAATTCAGTTAACAGTTGTTTCAGTGTTTGTGAAATGTTACATGTATGTAATTTTGTGGACTGTCCTACCTCATCTCGCAGACCTAGTTTTCAAATTTTACCTGGGTTGGCAAACACTTCAGTACTACATCAGTAGGATAAAAAGGTCAGCTGTGAATCATGCAAAGGAAGTGAAAGTTAGTTTCGGGTATGAAGTAGAAATCAGTTGGGTATTAGCTGAAACTAACATCATAATTGAAGTACTGGTAGAAAACTAAGGAGCAAATAGAAATGTCTTTAGGCTATTTAATGGAGTAAACATAGCTTTCAATATTGTGAATCGTCTAGATGCCTTATTGTGTTTGTTTTTTGTTTTTTTTTTTAAAATTGGTTCATTGTTCTTTAGCATTTTGAATGCCTTGAAGATTCTTCATTATACAGTTTGGGAACTGTTTCTAGATAATTTTCTCTAATAAAAATGGCTTAAATTGAGGTACTCTGATGTAGTGAAGCTACTTGTTGAATGATTATTTTTGTTTCCTTGGTGGATGACCTGTACTGGGGACCTATAACTGTTTTGGCAAATCTGCTGTGTTAGCTAAGCTTTTCTAGTAAGTATCCTTGTGAACATGAAAACCATACGAGACTGAAACTCTTAATTGATAGTTCACATTTGAATATTGCTTTTCTGTGATGTAAGCACAAATCAGGGGATTAGACTTCAAATAATGACAGGCTTGTTGGAAGCAAATTGAAAAATTACTTAGACCTGAAACGCATGAGGAAATAGGATGAATTAAGGCCAGTAGAATAGGAAACACAAATAGCTTATATTCAAGCAGATCAGAAAGCATTTACTCCTTTATTTGAAAATTACTGGGCTTTGTGTTAATTTCTTGTGTGATTTAACCTAATCTCTAAAGAAGCCCTGAAGTACTTGATATTTGTTTTGTAATGGATTCCAAGCATAACTCTATTTTGCAATTTTACTTGTTCTTTAGACATATACAGCCTTCTTTAAATAGTTAAAAGGATGGTTCTTAAAAAAAAAAAAAAAAAAAAAAGACATGGACCTGTTAGAGCAGGACAAGAGGAAGCCACAAAGATGATCAGAGGGCTGGAGCACCTCTCCTATGAAGATGGGCTGAGAGCTGGGGTAGTTCAGCCTGGAGAAAAGGAGGCTTTTAGGGAGACCTCGCTGTGGCCTTCCAGTACCTGAAGGGGGCTTTTGAAAAGAAGAGAGAGGGACTGTTTACAAGGGTGTGTAGGGACAGTAGTTTCGAATTGAAAAGAGGGCGGGTTTAGATTAGATGTTAGGAAGAAGTTTTTTACTGTGAGGGTGGTGAGGCACTGGAACAGGTTGCCCAGAGAAGCTGTGGATGCCCCATCCCTGGACGTGTTCAAGGCCAGGCTGGATGAGACCCTGAACGACCTGGTCTAATGGAAGGAGTCTCTGCCCATGGCATGGGGTTTGGAACTAGATGATCTTCAATGTCCTTTTCAACCCCAGCCATTCTGTGATTCTGTAAAATTTTTTATGGGAAAATAGGCCAAGCTCTATCAAATAACAGAATTAAACAGAAACATCTTTACTTCAGGTTGACCTGAAACATTTAAATGCTATACTGTGAGAATATAATCTTTACTACTGATTCTGTAGCTGTAGGAGAGGATATAATGAAAATAGATGTGCAAATTTGTTCTAGTTTTTTTTTTTTTTTTGTATTTCAAAGTGATGCAAAACTAGTTTTCAGTGAAACAGGAGAGTGAAATCTTCCTTATTTAGTGGAAAGTTTATAGATGGAATCTATGAGGAACAGTTCTACAAAAAACTTCACTTTTCATAGAATCATAGAATCATAGAATAGATTGGGTTGGAAAAGACCTCCAAGATCATCAAGTCCAACCCCTGATCCAACTCCAATTACTATATCATGGCACTAAGGGCCACATCCAATCTCTGCTTAAAAACCTCCAGGGATGGTGAATCCACCACCTCTCTGGGTAGGCTGTTCCAATGCTTGATTACCCTCTCTGTAAAGAATTTTTTGTAAAGCTATGGGTGAAAATATAGATTAAAATTCATAGTTAAGGAAGCTAGTAGTTTTCATATTCATAGGAGATGCTTGTAGTTGTTAATTTAGCTTGTTACATGTGACCTAACCTGTGTTTCATTGCTTGTGAGTTGGCTTGTTTCTCAGTGTAAGGAAAAATAGGAGTATTATTTCTCACCCCTTGACCTTTTACTTTTTTCATCTTCAAGGAAAAGAGTTCTACTCATTCCTCCAATTAGAAAGTCCAGTAGCCTAACCAGATACATGTATGTTTTGAAAACACCTTATGGCTGGGAAAACATAAGAAAAAACAGCCTTTTCTGGCATTCTTAAGCCATGTCAAGTGTTATTTTTTTAGGTATAATTTATTTAATAAATATTAGTGAGAGTTATCAAGTAGTGTGTGTGTTGGATGGTCTTGGGCCATCTCTGTACTGCTTTTCTTTCATTCTTTGTCTTTTCTGTCAATTCTGTTCTTTCATGTCCTGCTCAGCATTTCCTCTTGTGTTTCATCTTGCCTCAGTCCTCTTGCTTAGTATTTCCTTTAATTGCTTTCTCCATATTCTCACAAACATTTATGTATTTCCACTTTGCTGCTGCCACCAAGTAAAAGACAATCTCCAGTTTTTAAATAATGTTGGAAATGCCCGTATTGACCCAAAAAGGCAGAGAACAGATTTGGCATTGCAGCCTAAAAACCAAGGGGACTACCACCACCTCCTAGTCATGGGTGATATATGCTCCTTTTTCCATTATGTAGGGAATAATCTTGACAAAAGACAGGTACTTCTTCCTTGCTATAGAAATTTCATCACTCTCCTAACTGAAGTCCCTGTTTCTGGATATGTATTTAACAGAAGGGTTGATGTGTCTTTAAAAGCAGGCAGTTTGAGGAAGGATTTCCCTCAGTCCTTACTGACTGCAAGAGAGGAGAAGAAACTCCTATTTCCAAACTTGTTTTGTCATTGCACTTTTCCACTTCTCTTTCCTACCACAGAGTACATTGGTGGTTGTGCTAGAACTGTGTATTGCTGATGCTGTGCAGTTCTCCTGGCTGGCTCATTGCAGGGAGGGAAAGGATGATTCCACTGACCTACACTATCCCCTGGGGTTTTGACTCATTCATTGCAGTAAATAGTGTGTTCTTTGGTGTGTTATTTGTATTATTCCAAGCAACACTGTTATGGAATAGTCACACAGTATCACTTGTTTGTTTGTTTGTTTGGAGGTTGTTTGTTTTGGTTTTGTGGTTTTTTTTTGGTTTGTTTTTTTTTTTTTGTTTTGTTTTGTTTTGTAGGGGATTTTGTTTGTTTGTTTGTTCTTCAGAGCCCTAATGTCTTACCTTTGATAAAAGGATTATTTGTAGGTTCATGGAGACGTTGCATTTGATTTATATGCAAGAATTTACCAATACAATTGCTAGGATGAGAGATGCTAGGGCCTCAGCCTCCAAAAATAAATACAAGAATGCCAGTATTATTCAAGGGAAAGGCTCCTGTTGTTTCAGAACTCAAACAGGATTGTTTGGAAATGTGCAGTTGCTTCTTGCATGTCTGTATTCCATACTATACTTCAGTTCTGCGTCATACTTTTCTTCAGTTTTCTTGGCAAAGGCAGTCCTACTTGTTTAGATGAACACAACAAAATTGTAACAGACTAGGTGATAGTAAATGCTTTGATTACATTGAAGTGTAAGTGTATTTGAAGTGTACACAGATTTATAAGCTTGTCATTTTAACTCCAACTGCATCAAGGTGAGGTGGGATGATGAGTGACTGAAAAAAAGAGTCAGTAATGGGGAATAGTGTTTTCCAGCATTATCGTTAAACTACGTCCATGACAGCTACTTTGATGCTATTCCTCTGAGGGCCTCTCAAGGTTTGTTGCAAATTGTCCTGTAATGTAACATTTCCCCTTCTCTCCCATCCTCTTTGAGACCTAGTTTTCTTCAGTTTAAATTTGTCATGTAGTGAATTTGGGGCAGGGCAAACTCCAAGGGTAATGGAAAAGTTTGTTCTGACTTTTGAAAATAGCTCTGAATGTTCATGCTCTGGCAGAGCATAAAACAAAGCAAGCCAGCCTGCTGTGTTAGAGTACCTGTGTCAGATAGGTCTGTCTGGCATTGGCATCAAGTTTCTTTTACAAAAGAAAAGAACATCTATTTTCCTTTATGCAGAAGAAAGTTTTTCTGACATACCAATTTAGTTTGCGGGCACTAATAACAATACCCAGGTGCCCTGGTTCCTCTTGACTTCCTGCCACCTTTCCACAACCTCCTGAAGAAATGGGAAGATGATCATGCTTTGCCTTGCTTTGTTCTTGCTCTTTCTACCCATTCCTCAACACCTTTGTGTACTGGGCACATGGCCTGTCTCTCCTCTGCCCAGCAGTGGGCTTCTTGGTTGGAATCAGCCTTCCGGCTTGCTGCTGGACAGGCAAGTTGTGTTTTGCACTTTGCACCACTTCTTCACAGGACCTCCCTTTCTCTTGACTTTTTTGCTGTGTAAGCTTTAGCTTTGTAAGGTGGTCTTTGGCTCTCTCCAGTGATGAACCTTATCAACCTGCTCTTCTGCTCTTGTGCTCTTCTGCTCTTCTGCTTACAGATTTTTCAGTTTGAGTGATTCCCATGTTTACCCTTAACCTAAAAGTAGAAATTACTGCATGTATTATTAGAAGATAGTTAAGGAGACAACAGAAAACTAAGCACATAGCTGCTTGAAGAGTTCCCCGAAGTTTGTCATGTCTCAGTCCTTTAAATAGCCTCAGTACCTGGCAGATGAAAAACATGTTTCTAAACACTGTGTTCCAAGTCCCTGAAATGACTTAATCTCTAAATAGCCATGTAACAGCTTCTTTTTATAGAATGAGGGGAAAACCAAAAGTTTTTTCACTACTAAAATTCTGGTTCTGCTAATGTGTCTTCTGTTCCCATGAGAAGTGTCTCTAGTACATCACGAAGCCTGACCTAGTGTGCAGTGATACAAAGTCTGGCTGGAGACTGGTAACAAGTGGTATATGCCAGTGGTTGATACTATTCAGCATCTTCCTTAATGACCTCAGCAATGGGGCAGAGTGTACCCTCAGCAGTTTTGCTGATGATACACCAGAGCGCTGTACAGCCGTTCAGAGGGACTGTTTGTGAGTTTATCCCTTAAAGCTTTTCATATAATTCTGAGAACTCTGACTCATGAGTTTCGAACGTTTTTCACTTAAAATACTGTATGAGTGATTTGATCACTCTTGAATAAAGAGCTGATGTAATGTTCCATTTTAGGGAAGTTTCAATTAGAATTGCAGGGTGTGGGGTTTTGGGGGTTTTGTTTGTTTGTTGTTTTGGAAAGCAGTGTATCTTTCTCTTTGTTCTTCAGCTCAGCAGGATTAAAACATCAGTATGTTTCTTAAAACAGCAGTCCAAGTGGAACTCTGAGCAGTGTAGTGCCCTTAATTCCCGTTCATTTTACACTTGGGATCGATTCTATTCCAGATGGGTGATGGGCATTGTGTGTCTTAATAAAGGATTGCATATGTGTGGTGCTTTTGTCTTTAAGCCTGTGGTTCACTAAGTCCTAGTGCTTTGGTTATGCCATCTCCAGGATTAGTTGCCCAGAAAGTCAGTTTTGAAAACTTTTGCAACTTTTTGAATCTTTAGGCGAGAAAGAAAGCCAACAGTAGCTTATAATCCTTTGCAGTTCCTAGGGCATGCTGTCTTCCAAAGTTGTTTTCAGTAAGATTTGTATATATTGTCTTCTGGACCAGGTAAGGAAATTCTTTTCTGAATCTTATGTCGACACTCAGCTGTGTTGGAGCTCTACACTTAAAGAGTTGTAGATAATGTCCAGAAGAGTAACATGAGAATATTTAGCTGTAAGCTTGTTTTAAAACTCCAGTTGGTTCTCATGCCTTTTTTCAGTACATTAACATTATTGTTGATCTCCACAGTAGAACTAAACCTGATGGAGAGCTATAAAATTAACTTTTTTAAATTGCCAAAATATTGCCTTGACATTTCAGTATTGGTTAGGAAATACCTACTTATGTTTGTTTGTTTCCCTTGCCCCCTTTCTTCCCCACCATAGAAATCCGCTATGCAACTGTGTACTGGAATAAAGCTGAAAAAACACTTCAGGTCAGGAATACACTGGACAGGAGTGGAGACGCTTATGGTTTCTACAACAACAGTTTACAGACAACAGGTTGGGGAGTCCTGGAGATCAGAGCAGGCTATGGCAGCCAGACCTTAAGCAATGAAGATATCATGTATGCTGCTGGCTTCTTGGAAGGCTATCTCACAGCTCCGTAAGTATCTAAGGATGCAACTCAATTTATGGCACTTCAAGTGGATTTCTGTACTTGTGAGGTTTTTTTGTTTGTTTTAATTTCCCTAAATACCCATCCATTTAAACTAACCATACATTTTGCAGCTGTATGCTGTTCTTTTAATTAGTAGGAGGCATAAAGTATAGCTTCTTCATGAGGGGATCAGATGTGCACTTCTCATTCTGCAGGCTCTCCTAACACCTCGGTGAGATAGATGAGTACAGCATCTGTGTTACTGACTAACTAATGTAATCACAAAAAAGTGTATGTATGTGTAAGGAAGTGCATAAACCCTGTGTTGTAAATAATTGCAAAAGGGTTAGCAAAAAAAGTAGTTATTTCCACAGCCTGTAGTTAAGTGGCTGACCAATAGCAGACGAGACGGTTGAGAGCAGATCGGTCAGGGAGAAATGTTGCTAGCAAGGTCTGCGGGGCTTCCTTAAGGACCTTTTTCAGCAAACACTGTCAAGAAACTGCTGGGGAGCAGATACCAAAACTTCAGTGCATAGGAAGTTGTTTTGGCCAACTTAAAAAAAAAAAAAAAAGATATATATATATATATATACTGATAAGCCTGAAGGCAGTCTGACGTCAGCGTCAGGGTCAGCGTTCTCCTGAAAGCCCTAAGGGACCAAATTTCTCCCACTATGAAAACTGACTGAATTTTGTACTTGTTATGATTCCAGAGCAGGTGTTTTTTTTCCCTAAGATAAAACAAAAATAAATAAAAAATCCCCCTCAACACCAAATACATAACCCCAATCAACAGCCAACCAAAAAAAATAATCCCCAAACCATACCTTGTTCTTTTCTTGACTCAGCTGAAAGACAGAATGACACTATGAAATACTCACTGGCAGTAGATGACTGTGCTAGGTTGGACTTGATGATCTTGAAGATCTTTTCCAAACTAAATGATTCTGTATAGCTGGTGATGTAGATAAGAACATCATGCATGGCTTGTTCAACCAGCTCCATCTTTTCCTATGATTAAGTTGATAGAGGAAAAGAAAAATTCCAAAATTCTGGTGCTTGGATGGGGAATAGTTGGGAGAGGTTTGCAATGGCTGCAGTGACATGAATTCGGCTTCATCAGCTTTGCTTTCAGAACACTGAAATAAATACCCACAGCAAGGGAAGGTTATCTGAACATTTGTCAGATATGGCTTCTGGATAAGGTAATATAATTAAGAAGATATTTTAAGATCAGTTAATATTTATGGATAGTTCTCTGATCATACGATAGTGTCACTCTAGTAGGCTCTGCTGGTGAGGCACAGAAGTCTCTGGAAGCATACAAGGGAAATTCAATAAAGTAAAGTAAGACAAGTAAAACTTGTCAAAACCAGAACACTTCTGAGGGGAAGAGTAAAGGAATCCTAGAGTTTTGAGCGCACAACCTGTACTCCAGGCAGGAAACAAAATGAAATACATAAGAGATCCGATTGTATATTGTTGGATTATTTGGCTTGAGAGGTTCCTGTTTTGTGCTATTCAGTCAGTTTATGTCAAGGATGTCTGGATCTGGGTGATGCTAGCGTAACATTTAGAACATTGTTAAAATTGGATATGGCTCAACAGATTTTTTCATTAAGGCTTTACCTAGGTGTATTAATCTCCTAAATGATTAAGCTTAAGCTTTGTCATACTATAGGTAGCTCAGGCTATGCTAAGCCCGATTAGATGTCAGGTAGTGTTCTAATAGCAACAACTCATACCCTGTTCCTCTTCTGCCTCCAGAGTAGATTTATGTGTCTTCCTTTCTCTTAAACAAACATAACTATATGCCTGTTCCTTTAAATGTGATTTGAATGTGAAACAGTGTCTGCAGAGGCTTATTTGCTATCATAGTCTATGCTGAGTTCTAGACGAAGGAGATTTCCCCTTTGTTTGTTGTTTTTTTTTTTTCCCATGGGTGTTAAATGAAGATTCACAGAAGTGAAGTTATGCAAATTATTCCGCTCAAGACTTTCACCTTCCCCCGGTCAAGTGCTTACTGAGGTTGGTTCCTAGCCCTGGCTGTTGTTGCTGTAGGGCTACCAGCATTGGTTGGCCTTTTATGGAGAAATGAATATAGCAGAAATAGTAATGAACAGAGATCTTAAAGTCTGTGGAAGTGAAGCTGATGGTTTGTATCAATGTGGAAAAGTAGGGCTTGAGACTTTGGCTTTTAAACAAAATTGGAAATTTAACTGTTTTAAAGGAGATTAAGTGTGAGAGTGGGTTAAGATGCAAACCCAGAAGTAGCTAAAGCCTTTCTTTTCTAGGAAAACTTTTTGAGAAAATCCACAGAGAAATCCTCTGACAAGTGCAAGATCCAAAAATGCTTATCATCACTAAAATGACTATCAAATATGAATTTGGGTTTTTTGCTATGTATTTGCCCCATTGTACATCTCTAAATGCAGTGGAAGCATATTTCTCACTGGGGATGATGAACATAAGCTTTTTCTGTCAGGTCATGTAAAGCCATTTTGGATAAAGGAGGTTTTTCTGGAGACTAAGAATACTTTTTGAAAATGCTTCAACTAAAGAGTAGAGATGAATTAGTGATGTACTCTCTTGGCCTTTGAGAAGACAGAGAACCTATTACTTCAGGTTTCAGCTGCATGGCTTTGGTAGTTTTCTGTTTGGCAAACTGCAACTAATGAATCCTTTTATACACTGTTTGCAATTTCCTGAATTGCAAAAGAAGTGAGAAGTCTCTAAGTCTGCAGATGTTAAACTTGCTCTCAGAGCTCCATTTCTCCTTCATCTTGCCTATAAATTCACAGTATTGTAATTAACATGCAGGCAGAAGTTCTATCTTGGGGACAGTTAAAGTCCTCTGAAGTAACACCAGGAAACAGCCTATCTCAATCTCTAGCACTACTCCCATTGGACTGCTTGGCCCGTTCAGCCTGTCTTCAGGGAAACTCTCCAGCACCATCACAACTTCCCTTATGAGAAGGTGTCTCTAAACACTCTCTTTCCACTTTTGCACGCACCGATGCCCTCAGTAGCTGCACTCAGCTCAACCTTCCTTTTGAAGGACTTGGTAACAACAAGGGAGACTGTAAGTAGGTGTTTAGCTTTGGGAAGGCTCTGTGTGCATTGAGAGCCAGTTAGCTGCTGGAGAGAAGACTCTTGTGTCAGCTGCCTGTACAAGCACCTCAGGTGGCTCAGGCGCAGTCCTCCAATGTGAAAACATGGGGTATGCTCGGTAATTGAAGAGCCCTTTAGCACATGGCTACCTGCTGTCTTAACTGCGAGGTGTCCAGCTGTCTTGCATCCATAGGCGGTAATGACTCACCCTGAAATCCTGCTAGGAAGAGCTCTGATGAGATGCATTAGTAGGAGGGAAAGGTTGTGTGCTTGATCCCGGGTTGAAGCACAGGTTCCTGCAGAAGCTGTTGGGTGAGCAGGAGCTGCGGCTAGACAGTGCCTGCAATTTGGAGACCTTCAGGAATTCTCAGCTAGCTCAGTTCTCACGTTACACTTAGGGCATGAAGGAGAGTTTTAAGACACAGCTAGGCCTCATCACGTAAGCAAAAGAGTGACCAAGTACCTCTCTTAAAAGCATATGCTTTGCATTTAGTAGGAACCTAAGAAGACTGTAAACCAACCAGACTGAAAAAAAAAAAAAAAAAGGCAGAATATGAGGTATGCTACAACTGTTTTATCTCAGATTACTTGGGAAAAATTAACCTCATCTCTAGCTGTATAAGTCTGTTGTAGAAAAAGTGATAGTTCAGCCAGTCAGACCAGTTTACCAGTGATGGTAGAAACATAAGCCCTTCCTAGAGCATGCTTCATTCATGCTTTTCTAATGTTGGCACCTGATTCAGATGGTAGCTATATGTGTTGAAAATACATAGTGAGGGGTTAAATAAATTGAATCCTAGTGTCTGGGGATCCAGACACTTGTTTTTATCCCCAGTCTCTTACCCCTCTGTAAGGTCCAATCCTGTCATCCAGCCAAAGATACTTACTCTGGTTTTCTTAGGTATGGATTCTCTTTCTCCATTGGAAACAGAGAAGTATTAATGAGGCCTTTCTTTACTTAGTGGCAGAGCACATCCAGATCTGTGACATTATTTTAAATAGCTCCAGTTGGGGTCTGCCAGGAACCTAAGAGCAGTATTTTAAATTTGAAGCAATATTAATTTTAGTCTTTTCTGATACAGCTTCCACTGACTTGAATCCTGTCATCTTCCTCTCTAATTTGAAGCAGGGCTCTGCTTTTCTGTTTTTAGGCTTTGAATTCTTGTCGCATATTTGTAATTGCCTTGCATTTGGCTTTAGATGTAGTTGCTAAGCCTTACCTTACTAAAATGATCCAATTTACTTCAGAGAATAATATCCTTATGAAACATGCAAGCCATGTGCATAGAAGCTCTGTTAAAGCAAAAATATTAAAGAGAGTAACTAGGGGAAAATTTTGTGATAACACTGGTTATTAAAAAACCCCAACCAATACCAGGACTTGTCTGTCCCCTGTTAGCATATACAAGAATGAAAGACATTAAAGAAGCTGTTTTCAGTCCCCTGATTGTGAACTAACCCAGCTTCTACACGAGTCATTACAGCTTAAAGATACTGCTACTGTCAAATCTGCCTTTGAGTGCAGAATAGGGAGTAGAGCTGATGGTTGAGTCTGGAAGCCTGATCCTGGCCTAGGCAGTGGTTAGAGCAGTATCCTAGCTGTGTATCCTTCTCATGTGGTTCTAGTCATTAAATGACCATCTGCCAGGTGAACCAGCTCGTGCTGTTTGCTCCACATTAGTGACATGAATGCTCTGATTTGTAGCATGGAGCAGGCTAAGCTCTAATTTCCTTCCTAAAATTACTTGGGATTTTTGTTTGCTGAATTCCCTGTGAATGTGCAGGGGTGGAGAATATTGATCTGTCTCTTCAAGTTTCTTATCCTCTTCAAGAAGTAGGTTATGGTTATATCATGCAGTCTTGTGTTACATGGGAGACAAGAAACTCTAGAACTAAAATTAACGTTGTAGCTGCAGTTTCATGAAAGGTGTACTGGTGTAAAGCTGCTGAATGCACCTCTCTCTTGCCCCAGCACCTCTCTCCACAGATCCCCTCAACTTATGTCTGCCCTTTCATGCATCAGTTAATGTACCAACATAGTATAGAGCTGCCTTTTTGCACCAGCTCTGTTGCTCATCTGTTGGCATAACAACCTAACTCAGACTACCAGAAAAAATAATTCACATTTTTCCTGGGTTAATGTTTTGTCTGAATGTGTGCAAACGATTAGATCTGGTAGTCAGAATAGTACCAGAGCTAAGATAAGAAGCAGCAGGATCATGCAATCAAGTTCATGCAATCATCTGGGAATGGGGCAAAGGAAAGAGAGTAGAGAAGATCAGTGGATGAGTCTCTAATTATCAGTAAACCATTCAGTCATCTGTCTATATTCTCTAATTATCCCCTGAGGGAAATTGGGAAGAGCTTCTGTCTGCATCCCTCCCAGAGAAAGCTGCTCTCATGAGTTTTACTACCGGAATTCTGTTCTGCTGGCATGTGCTTACCTTGAGGCTGGTATCTGTTTCTCAGTACTGTTTTCTTTCTCTCAGCAATTGGTAGGAGATAAATTTACTGATGATTGATGTAGTTCTATCTCTATCAACTCCAGACCTCAACAAAATAATTCTCTGCTGATTTCTTCCTTTTTTATTTTTAAATTTGATCAGTGACTGAAAAAAAAAAATTAGTTAAGTTTGACCCAAAATTAAGAAATGTTGAAGTTCTGTTTTGGTTTGAATCAGTCAATTACATTTCACCTAAAATGGAAGGATGACTTTAATATCTGGATTCCTGAGCATTTTTGGTGGTTGATTTCATCTTGAAGGACTTGAACAAAAACAAACAAAAAAGCCCTAACCAGCTAACCAACAAAACCTTTCAACTTGTGTTTCTATTAGGTAATGGGGATGAAATGGTTAACTAAATAAAGAAGAAAATTTACGTCTCCATAAAGCTGAATCTGTTTAGGGCTGGCATGAGTGGGAGTTTCTGTGGGAACATACAGGATCAACTTACAGTGCTAATAACACCAAGACTGTGGGTTTGATCCTCGTGTGGGCCATTCATTTAAGAGTTAGACTCGATGATCCTTGGACTCAGAATATTCTGTGATTCTATAAACACTTTAAAATAGGGATGTTTAGCTTAATCAGGAAGGAAGCACGTGGTTAATGTCAAGTAAAACCTGCTAGGTACCATGCTGAAATTCTCTCTCCAAATAATGAAATTAACTGAATTGGCAAATTATATTAACTTCACCCTTGTGGGTTTTTTGGTTCCAAATAGAATAGCTTTCCAGAAAACTATTTTTGTTGTGCTTTAAATTAACGTGCTAATGCTTTCAAGATGCTTTTGGCATACAAATATTCCCTGAATGTGCAGTTTTGCTATGAAGTAGTTCAGTCTCATTCTTGCTTATCTTTGCATTATGCAGCAGTTTGAGCAGGCATCGACAACATCATTTATTTTAAGTTAAATTTCAACAATCCATTTGTGTTACCTTTGCTATTTGTCATACACTGGAGTAATTTCTGCGAGTAGGAAAAGCTTATTTTGTGAACTGTGTTGCTTGTCTGTCAGTGCTGTCACTGTTTATCAATGGGTTGGTAAATTCAAGGAAGGAAAGATGCAAAAGAATAACTCCTGCTACTTTTATTCTTTCAGGCAGATGTATGACCATGCTGCAAATATGTACCCACAGTTAATTAAGAATCCCACCGTCCGAACTGGAGTTCAGAATTTTATGGCGTATGTATTTAGTTACTAAAAATAAATTATTCAAGACTTGGGGTTGGAGGGTGACAGAATTTTCAAGGCGTTTTTATTCTCTTCCTATTGGGATAAAGGAAATATATGCTTCCTTTCCTTCTGGTTGAATATCATTATTATTAAAAAGAAATTCTAAGTATACATGAAGAAGGGCATATACCCTTCCCTAATCCTGGTTCTTGCAAAGAAATGTTTAAAACCATGTTTAAAAAGGGTGTGGATAATGTCAATGAATTCTGAAGGTCATTCTAGTAAAAAAATGTAGTAAAAACCTGGTACTTTGAATGTTACTGAACAGTGGTCTCCTGGCACCTTAATCTTTTTAGCATTGTGTATCCTTTCCTTCTTCTGTTAGGTTAGTATCTTATTCTGTCACTGATTTAAATTCTGTTCTAGTCACAAAAGTCCTGATTCACTTTTCTCTTCAGCTGTATAAATCAAAAGTAATTCTGCTTGAATAATGCAGCTACACTGGTGGGAAACCACAAGTTGAGAGAAGAACCAAGCCAGGTACTGGAAAACTCAGCCGTGATTAACAATTTTTTTATCTCCTTAGACTTATGTTTTTTCCATTACAAATACTTCTGCAAAACTGTCAGTACTGGGGACTATTTTCTTCCATCTTTCCCTTGTCTTGTGCTTTCTGCAAGGGGTCATATATCTGACTAATTCTATTATTGGTGCACATATATAAAGCTGGTTGGTTTTAGCTTATCCAAAAGGTAGACAAAAAAAATCTCAGTGCTCCCTTGCTATTATTCTTCAGCACTGCTGTGCTCCTCCTTGTGAGAAAAATCTGACAGCCACCATATCAATGTGTTTGGTTTTTTTTCCCCAGAATGACTTAGCAGTTTTATTCCCTAAGATGCATTGTTGGATGGAGGGGGGCAATACTAGGTGGCCTTGTGTTGTTTTTCTATTGCGTATAGCCTCAAAAAAAGTAAAGCATCACTGCTTTACTTTACAGTAGTTTTGCAATATGAGTTGCTGCACTGTGTTGGAAGTCTTGAGCCCTGAATGGTCTGACCATATCCCTGTTTCCTCCAACATACTTTTTGCATCTTGATGCTTCTAGAAAGCTAAATCTGATTGGTTTTATCATCTGTATACCGCTGGAAGAGTCAGCTTCCTTGACAGGTTTGTTCTCTCTATTTTGCTGCTTTATGTAGTGCTGGATGGATAGATACAGAGGATAGAAGAGGCCAGAATCTGGTCCCGATTTCCAAGGGTTCTTTTGTGGCTCTTTGTGCATAGCAAAAGAGGGAACTCTAGGAGATCCTTATAATATTGGCTGCTCCTGCCCCTAGGGTCTGTTCAGCTTGTGTTTCCTCATGCTCTAAACCAGGGTTATTTGGCTCTTTACTGAATTTGGCACGTGGCGAAGTTGCTTGGCCTCCCACCTTTTACTTAGAGGAGCATAACAGTGGTTCTTAGGCAGTGTTTGAGCACCATCAGCAAAGCCTTCCCTGCGCTTGTAAATAAGGGACAGGGCTAGGCTCTTCAATTGTCAGTCTGTTTCTATCCTTAAATAGGCATTTAAAAGGTAATGGTTCATCTGACCGATCAAATGCTTGTTTCCCTTTACTGACTCTATGGGGATGCCAGACCTGCTATTGCAAAGTCCCCCACAAAGGTGGAGTCCAACTCATTCTTTGATTTAAAGTCTGGTAGAGGCATGTGATTGTAGGGTATGCTGATGAACATTTACACATGGAGGATGTAATGTTTATATCTACAGGATTTCCAAAGCATGACTTGCCTCAGCAACAGTAGTAAGGTTGGATCATCTGAGTTATAATATATTTGTCCCTTCCCTGCATTATCAACTATACTCTAAAAACCCCAAGAAAACCTCAACCTGTTTGTTCCTCTGCAGGAAGCAAGATCAATGGACAAGACAGCAAATCAGAAATAAAAAGGATGACCCATTTTGGAGGCATGCTGGCTATATTACTGCACAGTTGGATGGTCTGTACATGGGAGCCTTCGAGTGGGCTAAACTTCACAGACAAACAGTAAGACTACTGCATCTTTTCTTCAGTAGGTGGGGATGGGATGTCAGTGGACAAACATGGGAGAAGGAAATCTGCTGTCTAAAAATAAAAAGTAGATACTTAGTGGCAAGCACTCATTCTGCATGCCATTCTACAAAATCTTTAGTGGCTGTTCAATGTAGATAATGCAACTGGGCACTTGGGTCACCCAACCACAGATCCTTTGCAGTGGACTTGGAACCCTGAACTGATTAGGTTGGGGGTGGCTTTTGTATCCATGCTTGAATGTTGGCAGGACAGACACTTCTAAAGTGCTTGTTGCTGTCACTTTACAGTTGTTATTGAGCAAATGACCTTCTGGGTAGAGTACCTACAGCAGCATGAATCAGCATGTAGGGAGTATATTAAACCTTTTGTTTGTATTTCCGAACATCAGATTTGAAATCCTAAAAGCCTTTCTATTTTTTTACATGGCTAAATGTCTTCTCCTTTTCTAAGTTTCCAAAACATATGGTTACAAAATACAGGGTCAGTGCTGTGACAGGCCAAGTAGGATTGGTTTTGGGATTTTGTTTAGTGGTGGTTTGTTGTTTGGTTGGTTCTTTTGTTCCCTTTTTTTTTAAATTCAATTAGAATTGTTTTCCAGATCATCAGCTTGTATGTAATAGCAGAACTCCTTTAACTCCAGTAGAGCTATAATGCCATCCTAAAGTCTGTCTAATAGATTTTTCAGTGTGAGAGGGAGGACTTGAGTAATTGTAGTCGACTCTTTTTGCCTAGGCTTAACCATACCAAGAATTTTGAGAAGCTGGGAGTCCTGAATTGTAAACAATTGCATTTTAGTAAAGTGCTCATCTTTCTTGCATAGAATTTACTCTGGGACTTTGGTAAATGGGGACGCAGCTCAAACTGGAAAAAAAAGGTGTTCACAGCAATGACCCATCCTGAGAGACCTGAGTTTATAGGGGAAAATACTAGAAACCTTGATCTTCTAGGAAAAGAACTCATTAATTCCCTTTCATAACACCTGTATCTGAAGAGCCCTGCAAAGCTCATCAGCTTTTTTTTTGGCTGCTTCAGAATCTTTAAGATTCTGAAAGGGGGAAGGGAAAGTGCTAGTTTGTGTCTGAGGTATTTCTTTGTAATAGCCATGTCCTACCTGCAAGGTGTGTTCCCTGATGCTTGCTTATTTAACTGTGTATATGGTACTAAAAAGCACTGACCTCTGGAGGGTCTTGAGTAATTTTTATCCTCTTTTTAGAGGCCTTATCAGCATTCCTGTATAAAAATGGTGCACTTAGTGAAAGTTCAGATATGTGTTTAGGCTGAAATATTTGTCTTCCACTCATGAATTATATGCAGGGAGTATATTTTTTTTCTTTTCCCAAATGGGCCTGCAGCAGTTGGTGAGATTTATTTTGACTCTTTACTATGCCAGTCACAATTTTAGCTTTGTACGTTATCACTTATATTGCGATCCATATCTTTTTATTCAAAGGAAAATTGTTCTCTGTGTATTTTTCTCACTTGACATGTGCTGCTGTTTCCTCTGTGTGCCAGAGCCAGTAAGTTAACCTCAGTCTCTTACCTTTGAGTAGATTTTGGACAGATGCTCTTGCACCTAGGTGCTGGTTTTCCTTGGCATCGAAGTAATACCTGACAGCTCTGCAAAAGTACAGGCAGTTCATTTTGTTGGATACCATGCTACTTTTCAAATGATTTTGGGAGATTAGGCTACAACAGTGCTGTGTGTGTACATATTTACTGCTGTTAAAAAAGAAGCATCTCCTTCAGGAAACAGAGCTTGAAGACTGTTGTTCCAGACTTACACGGGCAAGGAAAACAGGTGCAGATGCAAAGTTGCTGACTAATGTTCTAGCTTTGACACATCCATTTGTCTCATCCAAACTGTTGGCACTTAAAAGCCCTAACTAAACTAACAAACAAAACAAACAAGAATACCAACAGTATCTTCCTTAGTCCTTGTCATTAAAGAAGTCTGCCATCCAAAGAGACTGTTGTCAACTTTCCTTTTCCAGTACATATTATAAGAATGTTTAAAAGGTTCTTTTATTTAAATCCTTTAGATTGTTAGTAAGTGGAATGTTTGGCAAATAAATTCACCTGATAGATTTTTTCTTATTTTTAAGTATTGTACTTTGGTTCAATTAATACAATTGTTTTGATATTTTGTTGGGTGGCAACTACAGTAACAACTATGAGCTATTTACATCACTCAGTTCTCATCTTAAAAAAACTCCAAATACTACATGCTTTTAAAAGCAAATTTCGTTCCTATTGCATGTTTTCCTCGGTGCTTTGAAAGTCTCTTCTTACATCTATCCTTTGGTAGATACTACTTTTGTTTAATTAAAAAAGAATCCGTTCCATGTGTTTATTGTTTTAGGATTATCATCATCAAGAACAAGTTTCTTTTGATATCTACTAGTGCAGTAGTTTGGATTCATGGTTGTAATGAACATTAGAAATATTAAAAATACCTTGCGTGTGAATTATGGTGTTTTCCTTTTTTACACACACCCAAACAAAACAAAAGAATCCCCAAAAAACCCAACCAAAAGCCAGCATGTGACAGTCTGTACTCTGTTGCCGGATGTTCTATCAGCTATTGGGAAAAACTGTGTGGTTCTAAATTCAACTAATTACTTGGTATGTGCAGAGGGCAATTGCTCCTATTTATCCTTGGCTTAAAATAAGAATAAATGCTGTAGAAAAAAGGCTGGGAAGCCTTTTTTCCATAACTCCCAAAATACCAGAGACAAGAGAAGGGGAGTAGGAGATGGATTTTGAAGTTCTTACATTGATCTCCCCTGCCCATGGACAAAGTGCTTTCCTGAACACTGAGAAGTTGGTTGGTTGACAAGGACAGACTAAATGAGATAAAGGGGATGAAGAAAAAACCCTGTGGATTCCAACACTGAGCATGGGCAGAGTTGTATAAAATTGTTTCCTTTTCAGGAGCGTAGAAACAAGCTGTTTCAATAGTTAATCTACTTTTAATTCTACACATTTCACGCTTTCAGTTTTCTCATCAGCATTACACATAACCTTTTCAAACTCTCAAGAAGTTGAGTTTTACATTTGGTGGATTAGTTGATGTATACTTACTGAGGAAGACAAAGGTCTGACTTTCTGTTGTCTGGTATAATGCATGGTAGTTCGAAACTGCCAAATCCACAGTGCTTAAGTGAGAGTTGGATTGTGTGCACACAAGTCACTCTGAAATGTTCAATTTTTCTGCTGTCCCCTAAACTTCAGGTTTACTTCACTTGAATATTGTAGAACCATTGTGTCTGCCACAAATAACTGAGCCTTACTGCAGAAAGAACATTTGATTTGGACTATGAACTGTTTGATAGTAGTACTAATATGTATTTTTTATTATCATTTATGAATCAAATGTTTTGTAGAGTACAGTTCTAAACTTTGTTTTTAATTGCATGGAATCTGTTTTCCAGCTGGGCTGTTTCAGGTAAGTGCTTCCATTAAGACCTGCATGAAGGAAATGTATATTGTAAACTTCTGTATTTTGAATTTGATACTTGCAGGTATCATTAAGAGTGATGTCAAAATCTGAATATATTTTCATGTTAAAGTGGGACATTATTCTAGCTGGTTTAGCAACATTTTATATCCAGTAAACAAACCCAACCCTTTTGTTAAGACAATTTCTGAAGGAGGGGCACTCAAAGAACATTACGCCTTTTCATCTGCCTAATGCTTTACCAACGCTGTGATTAATCTTGGGCTTGTCTATGCAGGGATATTACTCTTGAATAAGGAGGTGTCAGAGTTTTAATACTTCAATGACTACATGACAGCTCTCTTCTATTTGCACTTCTTTATTTTGTGTTGAGGGTGCTCATGCTTGGAGAAGTTAGTGGAAAACAATTGTTACAGGTGTCTATTTTAATGTTTCTTGTAGACAAGACTTTGAGGCTGGTTCTGTCCTGTCTGCCCCTTATAAGTTTATTTCTCCCTGCTGCTGATGTAATTGGAACTCAAACTGATTTTTCTGTTTGTCTGTTTTGCTGTTCAGGACAGTACCTAGAGGAGCCACACATCCTAGCAAAGGGACTCTTTCTTTTGTGGCTGTTCCACCTCTCCGTGTCAATTTAGCTCATTCATTCACTCTTCTTCAGGATGTAAACCATGTATACAGGGAGTTTTCCTGACATTACCGTGTGAGATAGAAGGTGATTACAAAAGATTGTAGTATGTCCTCTATTATGCACTTGATATGATGCACAAGTTTTTAGGTCTAATTATTGCTAGTGGACACTGATTAACTCCTTATAGAGAAGGTTTCTTCATATATCTTGGAAATCAGCTGTAACTTTTCCAAAACTCGGGCTATTGGCCTTAAGGCAGAAGCCTTAGACCACTCCTGACATTCCCAGATTAGGCCTGCATTGCAGATGCCTACGTCTTCTATTTCAGTGCATTGTTTTAGTGAGAATCCAGAGAAGCTCTTTGCTTGTGTGATTTTGCTGAGCATCACACAGTCTTAAACACAGGTTTATTCAATGAGAGTAATGAATTCTTAGAAATAAACTGGAACAAAATTTGCTTGCCCCTCAAAAGGGGAATGAAAACAACCCGAGTGGGTGCTTAACAACCTAAATCCTCATTTGCTTCTCTGATATTTTGGCTGGCTTTGGCAGCTGGCAGCCTAATCTTACCCAGTGGAGCCCTAGGAATTTGCATAACCTGTGCTTTGTTTGAGCAGGTCCTTCCTAGTGCTTTCTGACCACTTTTCTTCGTGTGTTGTTCTGAAAGCATCCTTGCTTGGCACTTTTGTTCTAAGTTGAATGGACTTCCTAATAGTTAAAAAGTTTTTGACTTGAAGTGACTGTAAGAAAGTGCAGAAATGTGAAACTTAAAAAATATACAGGCAATTCTGAGTGATGCTGCAGCAGTATCAATGCAGCTACCTGCAGATGTTGCAAAGAAGGCAGGTTTTATGAAGGAGAATATGGAGTTGGTAGCAAATGGATGTCAAGTATAATTAAAATGTCTCGAGGCTGCTGAGCATTCTTGTATGCAATCCTGTTTTCTCCCTTCCTGATACTGCACGGTAATGCCTGCGTGAATCAGACATTGGATATCAGCTTCTCCTTATTGCGTGGTGGGCTCACAGACCTTTCAGTGCAGTTGGATGGGGAAAAAATTGTGCTAAAACACTGCCAAATCTCTCTCTCTAGATTCCAGTAGAGATAAATGAGATAGAAGTTGTTGGGACTGATTTGTAAATGATTCATACCTCCGAGTTGCTTAAAACTACGTAAAGATATGTCTCTTGATGTTGTTCCCTGTTTAGATCTTTATAGCAAAAACATGATGAACTAAAGCAATGTAACATATATGAAAATTTGCTTTGGATTTCTTCCTCAAACTATAGCTGCTACTTGGGCCTTCTGCCATTAATGATTTTATTTGTGAGAATGGCATGTTTCTCTCGCTTGTCTTGGTAAGCACTGTGGGAAGTTTTGATTCCTTCCCCTGGGGTATATGGACTGACATTATTTCTGGTTTTCCTGTTGGTTATTCTCTCTGCCAGAACAGCAGATGAATAACACAGAATTCAGCCTTCTGAATAAAAACTAAATGGATTTGGCACTGTTTATTTTTTCTGTGTCCTTGTCTCCCCTTTTGGGGGGTTTGTAGAGAGGTCAGCTATATGGTTTGATAACACTGATTTACATTGCAAGCACAGTGTTTCTTTGCTATATGATTATGTGCCGTTCTAAAATTACTATTCACAGCTCTACGGTGATGTGTGTTCTGACTTCTTTTCCTTAAGCCTTGCTTAAACTAAAGGCACAGTGCAAGCAAGAATAGGAAAGATTTAGAAAACAGTATTTGAAGGCTGAGGCTAAACCACTCTTAAGTTCTTATTTTTGAAGGGACAAACTAAGAGGAGGTTCTAAAGAGCATGTTACACAAGCAGCTGTGTGTAGTTAACCCTCTTAACTCTGGCTGGCTCCAACCATAAGGAGTTTTCAAATCTCATAGCCTTTTGAGTGACTTTCCTTCTTCAGCTACTTCTGACTTGATTAGTATTGCTAACATGTCTTGTTTCCCTCATTTGTTTTTTCATCCTCAGTCATGAGGATGTCTTAAATTGAAGTGTTTATAAAAATCTGAGAATTCTCAGGAGTGTTTGTTAGTGTAAGAAAAGTTCTAACAAGGGAGACTGTCTTGATGCCTCTCTGTCTCAAGGTATTTTTTGTGATCTCGTTTTCTCCTTTTCCTCAGCCACTGAGCAACTTTGATGTCCAGTTTCTGAATGCTGTTGGAGACCTGTTGGACCTCATTCCTGCATTATTTGATTATTCTGCACGGGGTGGACAATGCAATGTGGAGCCAGGAGGCCATGGGAGATACCAGTGGGATATGGGACACTGCTCTGCCCTGATCAAGGTGAGCACCAAGAACCTAATCTCCAGTGACTGTGTTGATTTGCAGTGTCTCGAGTCTACATTTCTGAAGTCTTCCCTGTTTATGTTGCATGTGCATAAAGGTACCTCTATTGATGATTAAGGTGCATTTATGCAGTTGTAACTTGTGCCTCCACAGGATTTTGAGTCCAGTTTTTCTCACTTGTGTTCAAGGGTAGGGAAAAGACCAAACCAAACCGAAACCACAGAGATGAACATTGAAAAGCCACTAGAATTACTAGGGAATGAGGAACTACCGCGAAGAGGAGACTGGAAGAGAGTAACTTGTTTCACCTAGCCAAGTGAAGTCTGAAAGAAGGGGTATTGTGAATGACTACAAATACATTGGGCAAATAAGCAGGGAGAAAGGGAAAAAGACTACATAAACTAAAGGACAGTGGTAACATAAAAACAAATGGTTGTAAGTGGTTGCCTTTTTCTGTTGATAGTGATACTCTGGAATGGCTTTCCAATGGGAGTAATGACAGAACACCCCCCCCAAACACACACGTTTTTAAGATAAGTATCTGCTACATCATGGTGGCAATTACATTTTTCAGTTAAAGTTAGCAAGGATTTATTCAGCATATGGAGACTACACGTATTGCAGAGCAACAACATTCACCTTAAATTCTAAAACGTTCATCCAAGCATTTGCCTGCAGCAAAAGGTTTCTGAGGTAACAGCAAATCTTTGAACCAGGGAAATATTTTGGAAAGATGTATTATAAATATATGTATTTACCTTTTCAAATTGAATTTTCTTGCATTTGCTTCTACACTTTAAGGTGAACCAGAGTTAGTCTCACAGAAAAAGCATGTTTTAAGTTAACTCTGGATATGCTTGCAAAGATCCAATCTGAATGTGTGAATACAAGTATTCAAAATGAAACGGGGGAAAAATACATTCCACATGAGCCAAGTAACCTTTAACTGTTTTATTTTGAGAACAACACATGGGTAAGAATTTTCAGAAATTCATTAAGTACACAATTAAAAGCACAAGAATCTGCTCTGTCTTCAATAATGCAATTAATCTAACTACTTAAATCAAGTTGTTCTCCCAGTTTCTATCAAGTAAAAAAAAAAAAAAAAGGCAGAATACAATGGGGTAGTTTTTCTGTTTCTGTTTTTCAGGTTCTACCTGGGTATGAGAATATCTATTTTGCCCATTCCAGCTGGTTTACGTATGCGGCCACACTGAGAATATATAAGCATTGGAACTTCAATATAGTTGATCCATACACTAGCAGCAGCCGTGTCTCATTCAGCAGTTACCCAGGTAAAGTCAAGAAAACCAAAACTGTGTAGCTATTTAATATGGCATGGACCACCTTGCTGTCTTGTCTGTGAAAAGGGTGATACCTCCACAAGCACTGGCTTCAATCTACCTTAAAACTTCTAGCCACCAAGAGGACAAAATGCCATCTTCATTTTTCTGGCTTAAACATGATGTTGTCGTTGTCTTTTGTTGTTGATTAACCACTTGCAGTCCTCTAAATAGTATTAGTTAAATATTTTACCTCTGGCACAAACATGCTGCTTTGGATTCAGCTCATGTAGTCTGCAGTCATCTCAACTGTTGAACTCCTCACCTTGCCTGCAGCATTCACATGTTTGGTAATAACAGTTTTGAACACTTCTGTTTACTACTGTGATATGACTCGTGCTGTAATGGGATTATTAGCGAGTATCAAACAGTAGCTGTTTGAAATTGTGTTGACTTCTTTGATGTTTGGTTAACAAACCTTCAGTTGTTTTGTTGTTGGCTTGTTTTTTTTTTTTTTCCTTTTCCACCTACATCTTCGTCTTCCAGCTCCTCTATAAGCTGTTGCAGAGGGCAGTATTTTTTTATGGTTATTTCATGTGTTAGTAATATAGTCAACCATAATATTTAAAATCTCTTTTGGAAGATTAGGCTAAATGTTAAAAATTGCCAGCATTTAATGTTTCAGTGGTAAAATATGTGTACTCTTGCTAGAGTTGGACGAGAAATGTGAACGTGAAAAACCAAGGTGTATCTATGACTCCCTCTTAGAGTTAGCATTGCTTAAGTTTTTAAAGGTGAAATTTCAAATTAAAAAAAATACCCAAACACTCAAGAGTCTTCATAAACCTTTTTAAGTGACCTCTGTGCCACAGGACACTATCTCATTCTGATGAAATTTTGTTGGTTGATAATTTCAAAACTGTGCCTTTGCTGATTACTGTGCCTTACTGCAAAAGGGAAGGGCCTTTCATGGGAGGGACTCCCGAGACTGTGACTGGGAAACTGTTTTGAAAAGCAGTTGCGTTCATTTCACGTTGAAAACCAGTCTTTTCCTGTGGGATTCTGACCCTCCTCAGTGACCCTCAGGAGTGCAATGTTTTCTGACAACTGAGATTTTTTTCTTTGAGGAAGCAATAGAGGTATTCTGGTGAATGTCTAAGTGTGCAGCCTTTCAAGAGCCTAGGTTATCTCTGGTTGCCTTGGAGGAATTTTGCTTGCTTGTTGCAAGAAATTTTGTAGGAAGCAAAGGTTTCTGTCTGAGCTCTGTTCATCACTTGAATGTTCATAAAGTTATTCTGGCTCTCAGCAGAAGTACTGAGGATAGTATTGTCCCTCAGGAGAATGTGGCTCAGTTCAGCAACTGTTGCATACTGCACTATGCTGCAGATTCAAAAACGGGGATCAAGATCAGCCACCCAGAGCATTTATTATTTTATTGTGGTCGGTATCTGTGGTGATGTTTCCGGGTTGCTCCTTCTGTGGATTCTTTGTATAAAGTGAAATACAGATACTTGGTTTTCGTGAGACTGAGAAGGCACGCTGTATAGGAAAACCATACAAAGCTACTTACTACTTTGCTGAAATGGTTGGGGTCTGTTCACTAGTGTACAAAATCCCAGCGTGCTTCCCTGAGACTGTTGAGGTCTGCAGAGATGGCTTATTTTAGAGCTTGCTTTTGTAGACTCTGACCATAGCTTTGTGGAAAGGTGTACTTCTACCAACAAATTGACTGGGAATGCTTGCAAGGCATAGTTCCCATGAGGTTTGAGAGACCTGTGGTATGCCAAGTGTGCTCCCTGGCTGCCTGATTACAGGGTGCTATCACAAGCACTGGACAAGCATGGTCCATTGACTGCAGCAAATTGCATTAGCTATGGGTGTATTCACAGACTTGCAGCTTGCCAGGGGATGAGTAAGCTCTAAAGCACTGGCCTAGTAATGCTCAAGGGACATCACGTAGGAAGGAGGGAACTGCCAAATTCCTCTGCTCCATGTTATGATGAGATGGTGTTTTCAGGACATCTGACTGTGGAGTCTGCAGGTCCTGGCCATGATTCAACTTTTGACAATTGTAACCTCCCTGCATTCATGTTCCCGCTCTTACTCTCTGTCCTGACAGACATTAAGAACCAGTAAGAAAGGCCAACCTAGGAATCCCTCCTGAATAGTAACCTGATCCTAATGAACACAGAAGTATTGACTTTTGGAGGAAACAGCATTAAACGACCTGTGTCCTTCCAGGCTTCCAGTGCCACTTAACTGAGTAATTTAAAGACTCCTGTAAATCCAGTAGACTGTATATAAAGTCAAACTCTTCTGCTGTCCAAAAACTGTGTCAGAAAAACTTCAAGGAGTCATTTGGCTTTTGAGAAGGAATGTGCCAAATTTCTGATTTCTCCTGGGGTCACCGAGTTAACCTGTCCATGTTATTTATTTTTTTTTACTGAATTTCAAAAGACAGGCTACTGATCTGCAAAACTTAATATTTGTTGTGACTCGGTTTAGAGGTCACACTGTTGACTAACCATGATGCGTGTCAGCATGTGCACTGTACAGCTAGAAGGCCTTGGGCTTCTTTGCTCCTGCTGAGACCGAGCAGGTAGGAGGACAGGCAGGGATTGCAGTGTCTTTCCCAGCTTCCCCAGCAGTTATCCATGTTCCTGCCAGCATGCTCAAGTGTCTGCTGTTAACAGCATGCCTTCTCTTTACTGCTTTCTCCCCTTCAGAGCAGCGGTAGTGCTGCAGAGGCACAGTCAAGTGGAATTTAATGGGAATTGTAATCTGTTTTTGCAGAATTATTTCTTCACTTGCTGCTCATTTCCACACTAACCCATCCCAATCTTCACTTGAACTCTGCTCATAGTCTCAGCTTCCTCTTCTCTTGCAAGTGTCTGTGTGCAGAGCTGTGTGTACGACAGTTCTGTGAACTTTGGAAAGGAGAAATGTCTCTGAGCTGAATTCCTGAGCACGCTTGACTTCAGTGTGTTCTTCAAGCTCTGGACATAAGTACTTCACGTGGCTGATGAATCTATGTGTAGCAGAGTGAACTTAAATTGTACAGACACATTACTGTTGCTCACAAATGTTGAGGGAAGCTGTGCTCATTTGGGGGAGTAAGAAATGTGATGATAGAGACAAGGTAGGTGCTAAATTTTGCACTACATATCTAGTAAAAGATCAGAGAGAAAGCTGCACCTCTCTTCCTTCTGCCTCCCTCCCTTCCCCCCAGTCACTTCTCTACGCTGCCCCGTTGAGGCATTCAAAGAAAGGAGCCACATTAACTGATACAATTTGCAGTTTTCCTTGGATAGCAGGGAGTTTGCAACTCCCAAGATTTCCATCCATTTGAATAGAGTTCTTCTTGGACAGTAAGTTTTGAACTCCATTGAAGAAAGGGAATCTACCATTTGGACCCAAGCTCTCTTGTTTGAGTAGAGCACTACCTTCTCTGGGCTGAGCCACAGTCTTTTAAAACATGTAACTCTGATTTTAGCCGTCTAAGCAAATCACTTGAGAAGGACTCTACTGCTACCTTTGCTTCTCTGGTCTGCTGTTGGGATCTTGCTTGGTTGAGACAGGCTATGATGTGGGAATATGATGGCACAAGTTGTCTTGATGGCTGGCTATACGTATGATGCTAAGAGAAGTAGTATGTGTCCCTTGCTTTGAAGTAATCTGGTGTTAATGCAGGATCAGAAAGTGCAGCATTATCCTTCCCCCCAGCTGGAGCGAGACTAGGAGGAACAAACCACGGGAAGGGCAGTAGCCATTGTTCTCAGGGCTCATGACTGCCAGACCGTTTTGTGCTTCCCTGCTTGCTTCGTCCAACATCTGTCTAAAACCTTAAGGGAAGCAAAGGATGTATCGGAATTTAGGAGATGAGAGACCAGAGCTATACTGTGGGATGTGCTATTTCTTAGGTCCTGGGAGAGCTTATGGGTGTTCAGTCTTGAGAAGCAGCTGCAGATAGGATTAAGAAAGCTAATCCCTCTACTTTTCCATAGTCTGTTTATAGACCAGAGCATCGAGCATCTCAGCTGGGAGCTACTCCCATCCCTGTGGGGTGGCCTTTGGCTTCCAGCCTGTAATGCTGGCCCTTTCTGTACTTGAATGAGTACAATGACCTTCTGAAACACCAAAAAAGCTGATGCTTTCTGTTTCAGAAAGCAACAGCCCTACCTCTTCAGGAGCAATAGCTGCCAGAATTGTGTTACCACCCACGTGCTCTTCGATGTGCTGCCTTTCTGGAGAGCACTGTGGCTCAGACTGCAAAAAAATCACTTTGCTTGGCTGATTAATATTGACATGATGAATGAAACTCCAGACTCTGAAACCTTCAGTTTTCAAGTGGTGATTGGAAACTGAAGCTAAATGGTTCAGACCCAGAAGATGCAATCAGAAGTGCTTTTGCTTGTTTCTATGTAGGAAGACTCAGTTTCATCAGAGGGAGGAGTTAAAAAAAAAAAAAAAGAAAGAAAATAAATGGTTTGAGTGTTGCTGACAAAAATGGGAGATGGGTTTACAGAGATGGTTTTACAGAAAAGAAGAGATGAACTGCACAAAGAGATAACATTTTCAATTACAACAGATTCTCATACATACTTAAAAATAGAAGAATGACGTAAGAGGACATCAAATATCTGCTGATATCTCTAGACTTCTCTGCCCAGGTTTTATTTTTGTGAACGTCTTTGGTTAAATCTATTGGTGTTTTAACTTCCCTTTGTTTCAAGGCTACCTAAATCAAAATGGCTTATGCCATCTTGAAATAATTAGGCTAGCAATGGTGTGTCATGGAGGGCATGTTGTGTTATAAAACACTGCAGGATAAAACTTGGTAAATACTGAGGCCCAGGAGGAAATCCCCTTGTTTGCAGCTTAGCTGAGCTTTGCAATTTATTTGAATTACAGAGTTCAACCTCCAGTTAATTCAGCATAATTTATTGTGTTGACACTTGCTTTGAGTCAAGTTTTTCTGTTTTATCTCAGTTGTTTTTTAAAAATGAAGAATAAAAACTATTTGATTTATTTTGAAGCAGGGCACTTGGCATTGTCACCCACATAAGAATTGGTGCTTAATTCAAATCACAACTGCTTAACAATTTCATTTCTTGTCTCCATTTGGGCAAGCACTTGACTTGTTTTACAACAGTTTATCACTGGATATCCTCCTATGTCTTTGTATAAAATAGACTGGCAGAGCCAGGTTTAGTGTGTTTCTCTTGTTGTTGCTTACTTGAGAGAGATCTCTGCTGTTGATGTACATAATTTATTGACATTCTTTTTCTGTCTCTGAGAATAAAATACCAGCTGCCAGGGTGCTCTGCCTGTTCTATACCGATATATTTTTAGAGAACAGTTGACCACAAAGTATATTTTCATGGATCTGTTCTAATTTGAGTACTTGATACTTTAAAAAAATTTGGCTGAAATTGAGCTCTCAAACATTGCTTTTGCTCGAAGGAGGTCTGCCTTTAGATAAAAGCCCAGGAATAGGAGGCAGAGCAGAGTTGTCTTCCTTGCCATCACAGGTTGGTGACCCTAGTTTGTTTTGCAGAGAGTTTATCCTGCAGAGAATAAAGCTTGCTGTAGAAAATGTCATAGTGGAACTCAACTATTACAGAATTTTAGGATCTTATACTCTGAAGACTGATCCTACTAAAAACTTGTTAACAAAAGTCAAGGTTCTGGGTGACTTCCCCATCAGGAGCTCAGTTAACAACCTTTCTTCCCCAACCTGGCAGCCACGTGTCTGCTGAGTAAGCTCAAAGTCAAGTTATTTCTGCTTTACAAGTAGTCACCACGCTATCCAAGGCATTATAGCTGACCTTTGCAGCTCTGAATGGCACCCCCTGGCATGGGATCTGCAACTGGACCTAGCACTTCTGTTGGCACGTAACCTGGAAATGAATCCTGCCCAGACATCCGTCACTGTGTTGACTTTGCAGAGCTTGTAGGCCTAAAAAAATCCAGTGACAATATGTCAGAAAGAGGGGTAGGAAGAGCTTTTTCTCTTGTACAGGCTGGGGTTTAGGATTTAAGAGATGCCCATTTCTTGGAGATGCTTTCAAGAATAGTTCAACTGTAAAAGATCAAACTAGAAGGAAGATTTTTCTGCTTATCTTGGTTTAATACAGAAAGGATTAATTTAAAGGGATTAACTCAGATAAATTAATTTGTCTTTACAGAGTAAAAACCTAAACCCGAAACTAGTTGAGGAAAACCTTTGTGGAGTTTGTATTTCGGTTGGATTTTCATTGTTGATTTTTTTTTTAATTAATTTTTTTGTTAGAAACCAACATGCATTGGTTGCACTGGCATTTACAGTATGTAATCCTCAGCATAAAAATAATACATAGCTTGACATATGGAGAAACTTCCGAGCTTGGCGTGCAAATGTGAAGCAAATGCTCTAGACAAAGAATTAGGTGTGTTGAAAGCATGACAGTTTCTCATTTCAAACTGTGTTGATAGGTGGGCCTAAAGCTCTTGCAGACGTTACCCCCTCATCTTTAATCTTTGTTCGTTTGATTTCAAACACACATGCGTTGACTCTTTCATGTCCTCTTGGCTTGTCTCTCTGTTTTTAATTGTGAGTATATCAAAGGTTCCCAAAGATAACCAATTTTGTGGTGTTGCTGTTTAAGGCTTTTTGGAGTCCCTGGATGACTTTTACATACTAGGCAGTGGCTTGGTAATGTTGCAGACTACCAACAGTGTGTACAACCAAACCCTCATTAAGCAAGTGGTGCCTGAATCCCTGTTGGCTTGGCAGAGAGTCCGCATTGCGAACATGATGGCAAATGATGGCAAAACTTGGGCAGAAACCTTCTCCAGGTGCAACTCTGGTAAGCACATTTTTATATGAATCTTGGGGAGAAAGGATGTGTTCACTGTACCTATTATATACCCTTTTCCTTTGCCTGGCAGGACATGTAACTCTCATTTTGCTTTCATACCCAGGGACCTACAACAATCAGTACATGGTGCTAGACCTGAAGAAGGTGAAGCTGCAGAGGAGCCTTGATGATGGTGCATTGTACATTGTTGAGCAGATCCCAACCCTTGTGGAGTATTCTGATCAAACGAATGTTCTCCGGAAAGGTAATAGCTCCTGTAGTAGTTACTGGCTCAGGAAAACCATCTCTTTGTGTCAACTGATGGAGGATTGTGTTTTGTAGCTGGGAAGAGTTTATTGCACACTAGTCCTGAATTTAAAGTAAGAAAGTTTTGTGTAAGCAACCCTCTGTTGCCGGGTCTGTTGCCTTGTGTTCATTTATCTGGTGTGCTGTGGCAGGACTGGGGTGAGCATCTGTGTTTCTTAGAAGCAGAGGAGGGAAAAACAGACTTTGCCTCCTTGCTTGCTTGCCTCTTACCTTTTTTACTGGTATTATTTTCCCCTGAGACCCATGAGGAAAAGTATGAGGTCTGTTTGAAGCAGTGCTAAGTAACTGTGATGCTGTGCTCTACTCAAAATGTTTGATGAGTGGGTCATCCTGAAAGAAGATTAACTTTTGAATAGGAGAGAGTTCTATGTTTATATTCATCTCCTGAACTTTTCTGGAGCTCTGTTTTCTGATAAATATTTGCTCTTTAAAAGGTTCTTGAAATCCCTAGCAAGACTAGTGACAACGTGATGGAAAACAAAAATCTAAGTGAAGCAAAACACCCATCTGGTTTAATTCACCAGTGTTTAATAGACACGTCAGCGACCAAAACCCTAAGCCTTACGTGTGTGTCTGGTGCTTTGTGCCCCCTCCTTTAATCACATGCTGAGGGGGTGAATAGATGAATTGCTCATCATCAAAATGTCTGGAAATGTATTTATGCTAGCAGCCGGAGTTGTTTCCCTTTGACATTTTTACTTGCGTCTAGGTCCTTGGGAAGTTCTGGCTTATTCTAAGCATTGCCACGTTGTCACTATTGTTTTATGTTTTTTATTGATAATTTGGAAAAATCCCATGTCTCTCCCTTATGCATCTCTAGCTCTTTTGGCTTCCTTTGCTTTGGGCTTCTCGGTGAGCGTGGTGCAAACAAGCTTAACCCTTTAGCTCTGGGAAACACTGCGACTACATCACAGCAGTGCTGTACCTGTGCAGAGAGGCCAGGCTTAGCAGGTACCTTGAGTTCCTTTCTGAGCAATAATTTGAGAGCTGCTGTGTGGCATTCCCTGTAGGACTGAGCCCAACTCCAGGGCTTGGGCACACAGTGACCGCTTCTTGTGGCTGCTCTGTTCTTGAAGGTGGCATTAGAGGTACATGTTACTTCACATTTGCAGTATGTTTTTTCCCAGATATCTAAATGCACCTTGTGTGTATTGGATAACACAGCAGTTGGTCTCTGGGAATTTAACTACTCAAAGGACAGGGTATGCTAAGCTCTGCCAAAGTGCTGCCTTGGAGACCTCAGCTGCTGTGAGCCACCACTGCTCCTGTAAGCAGCAGATCTGGACTCCTCCATGCCATGCAGGACACCAGACAAGCCCCATCGAGGCCCCAGCCCTGTTCCCAGGTGCTTGGAGCAGCCCAGGTGAAGGAGGTTTACCTTTCTCAAGAGCAATGCTGGTTTAAAGTGTTTATACAGGGGCTGATCCTGGCACACTCCATCATTGCCTTGTAGCTGGTGTCCAAAGATAATACCCTTTTGCCACTGGCTAGGTCAGAGTGAGTTTGCCACCAGCACTGGCTTTTTAACTCTCTTTTAAGCATAAACCTAGAAACAACAGAGAATGGGAATTGAAATCTCAGGTGAACAAAGGCTGCTATTGCTGTAGTAAGCCTTGTGCTGAGGAAAAAGGAAGCATTTTCTTATACAGGTTTGAAAATTGAAAGATTTCTTTTCTTGATGGCTTCTATCAGCTTGTTTTGTAGGCCAGTGCAGGTGAGTTCTCGAAACCAGGTATCTGTTATGTTGCCCTTTCCAGGCAAAGATGTCCAGGAGCTTTCTGTATGTTAACAAAGAAAAGTCAATCCTTTAGAAGTGGGTGAGGGCAGCACGGTTTCCACTGAAGGAAGAGGTCACAGGACTGGGCTGCAGTTCATGTTTCTTGATGATGAATGAGCTTATCTCATGAATGACATACTGATTTCAATATCAAAGGCAACATTTCAGAGCAGAAGCTGGGATCTCAGTGTCTTCCACCATACGTGCAATATTCTTATTGCTCTACTTCTAAATATTGCTGAGATCTTTTGCTCTTAATGGGCAGAGAAGGAAGGCATTTTGATTCAGGGAATGTTTGCTGCCTTCATGCCATCCCCCTCTCCCCCCTTTCAGCCTTACACCCTCTCTGACTTGTTTTTTTGTCACTGTGCACCCTGCCAGGTTTGACTGGCTTATAGTAGCCATCGGGTAAAGCCTGGCTGGCTGCTGTCTTGCAGTTTTGCAAGTCTTGCAGGAGCGTGAGACACAGAAAAGCTCTTGCTGGAGGAGAGCTTCAGTAGCTTCCTCTGTTTTAGTAATTCTGACGAAACGTTTTTCCAGGTTCACATGAGACAATAGCACCTTTTTGAATCACAGCTAAACGCTACTGTTTTGGAAACTGATGCTTCCATATCCTCTGGCTTGCGTGGTTAGAGACTGGCAAGCGTGCTCGTTTCTGGAGGACACCTGTATTACAACACAGCCTGTACACAACCTGTTTTCTTCAGGTTGGCTCTAGGTCGCATAAGCAAATGCCAGTAGACAGGGTATTCCTATCTTCCCTGTCCTACACAGGACCCAAGCTGGTAAGCCCTCTGCTCAGGCAGTCTTCCAGTGTTTATGGTGTCTGTGTATCTGTCCTTCAGGAAATTTGGTTTTTGTATCTGTGTGCCTCACTCCCAGTGAGTTCCATTTGATTTTCTTGAGCATCTTACAGACTCCTTACGTTGTGCTGGGCTAACACATGGGAGTACTGCATTTACCATTGCCTAGATAGTAAATATCTAAGCCAAATCTTTGCGTGTGTGATTTGAGAAGGAACAACAGGGAATGTAAGTGCTCTGGAGAGAACCTGCAAGTTTTCTGCTCTTGGGACTAGCTCCTGTTGTATACTCCCTGCTTAAAAACTCCTTGGTGCCTGCCTTCAAAAAAAAGGTAAAAAAATTAAATGTTAAGGTATAGGTATCTATTCTTATTTATTCCAGGGCTTCCTGCACCCAGATTCTGACCTGGATGGTCTCCTGGCTCTTTACAATCGTTTCTGCTTTCTACAGTAGACTTGCTTCAGGCTATTTTATGTTGCCTACCTAAAAAAACCCCTTCTCTGGAGTTCTGCCTGTCATCCTTTGCTCTTCAGAGTTAACAAAACTGCAGGATTCACACTGGGTTTGGGAAAAGTCGGAGCAGGGCTCTACTCTGCTAATCAATCACTTCCTAACCCTCAAAGGCACCTATTGGCAAATGTGCAGCAATCCTCCTATCTTTCCTCATCACTGTGTACAACCACCACTGCACAAAGCATGTGTGTGCTGGCCTGGCTCCTGTTCACCCCGAGTAGCTCTTGTGGTCTCTATGTTGGTCCATCCCTGCCATCTCAGCATAGGGTAGTGCTCTGTCCTGGTGAGATGGGAAGGGAGCAAAAAACAGGAGTGACTTCAAGCCTCTCACTGTCAAGTTTAGTGGAGGTAAGTGATCTTACACTCCTCTGAGGCTGAGCAGAGAAACCTCTGCAGGAGGGCTGTGGCCGGGCTGTGTGTTCACCTCAGGCTCCTGCAAGCTGATGTCAGCTGTTTTGCAGGATGAGTCCTCAGGGTGGACGTCTGGGGGCGGGTTGCCTGGGTACAGTCTCCAGTGGTGTTATACTGGGAGTCAACCCCGGTCATGCCAGTGTTGCCTTATTGTGTTCAAACCAGTTTGCAGTGTTGTTCCTTGGCGTGCTGTTAAGGCAGTGCAACATGGAAAAGTGCTTATTTTCCTTTCCGATATAAACAAGAGCATCTAAGTGATTAACAGATCGGGGTTTGTCTCTGGCAGGTTACTGGCCTTCATACAATATCCCTTTCCATGAAAAGATTTACAATCTCAGTGGATATGCATCATACGTTGTCAAGTACGGCATGGATTTCTCCTATGAGCTCGCTCCGAGAGCAAAAATCTTCCGTCGCGACCAGGGCAAGGTGACTGACCTGGAAAGCATGAAGTACATCATGAGATACAACAGTAAGACACGTGTTTATGTACTGTATTTCTTGGATTATAGCGGGAAGCCGCAGCCTCATATACGGATCAGTCATATTTCCCTAAATGCAGATACAGTCAAAGCAAATAGATAACACAAGCTTACTGCTGAGGTAGGAAACCGGGCTAAAATTGCTCTATCAGGAGCAAGGGCCCTTGGGCCTGCTGTTTGACTTCTCCAGAGTGCTTCTGACACTCCAAGAGACTTTGTGGACTGCTATTACCTAATACCTCTACGGCCTGTCAATCTTGAGAGCCTTAAACCCTAAGCAACAGTTAGGTGAGATCAGACCAGAGAATTTAGCATAAAACTTCATGTCTTTTTTCCATGTTCAGGCAAATGAACTTTGGCAGGTGTCCTGGTTTCAGCTGGGATAGAGTTAATTTTCTTAGTTGTTAGTACAGTGCCGTGTTTTGGATTAAGTATGAGAATAATGTTGATAGTTCAAGCATTACTTAACACACTAATATTTTAGTTGTTGATAAGTCAAGGACTTTTCATTTTCCCATGCCAGCAAGCAGTGCACAAGAAGCTGGGAGGGAGCTGGGACATCTGACCCGAAGCAGCCAAAGGGATATTCCATACCATTCCATAGTATAAAATGTCATGGTCAGTGTATGAACTGAGGGTAATTGGCTGGAAAGGGCTGATTGCTGTTCAGTAGGTGGTGAGCAACTGGATTGTGCATCACTTGTTTCTCTTTGGTTTTATTCCTTTCTCTTTCTCCCTCTCTGTCCCTTTTCATTATTACTAATTTTTTTTTATTTTTAACTTTATTTCAATTATTAAACTGTTTGTATCTCAAATTATGGGTTTTTCTTTTTCTGATCCTCCTGGTCCCATGGAGAGTGTTGGGGGAAAGTGGGAGAGTAGCTATGTGGTGTTTATTTGCCAGCTGGGATTAAGCCAGAACAGTAGGTAATGGTCTGATGTTTGTTTTTTTTTTTTTTCCTGACAGCGTTCTCCTTAACTGGATTAAACCCATCTTAATTAATTTATAGCTAAACCCATCTCAAAGTACAGATAGCTGTAGATGCTACATTTTTATTCCCAGTTATAGGCAGCTCACTGATTACTGGGCTTGAGGTTTGGGAGGCCTCTCCCTGGGTGGGGTATCGTTGTTACTTTTTGGGCTGTGAGTAGCAGCGTGCTCATAGACGTTGAGGCTTGTCCACCTCCCCCTCCTTGTTTGCAGCTCTTGCAGTGGGTGTTTTGAAGATTTTGCTCCTTACCACTTACTTTAGTCCAGAACAGGAAAACAAAGGCTCTCATTGCTGCATTTCCCCACCCACCACTTCCCTTTCTCTTCTGCTTTTCTCTCCTGACAAAGTTTCTACAAGCTTTCATCATGTGGAGTTCCATCATGTGGAACCGCAGATGTTGGTGGTTACAGGTTGGCAGCCCTGCCCCTGGGATGCAGAATTAGCTGTATGGCTGTGGATTAGGAGTTTGTCTACTTAATGTCACGTCTTGAGCACTGACTTCTGGCTGGTAGTGGAGGAGGAGCACAAGAGCAATTCGATAGAGGGCACTTACTCAGCTTTTAGTGGCTCCAGTACTTTGCATCAGCTTTTTGTGAGGGGGCTAACTTATTTTCTTTTCTTCTTTGCTTGCCTCCCCACCGCATTTCACCCCAGACTACCAGCGTGATCCTTATGCTGAACACAATCCTTGCAACACCATTTGCTGCCGGGAAGACTTGAATCCTTCTTTACCAGTGCCTGCAGGCTGCTATGACTCCAAGGTAAATTACCTCAATTTCAACATCAGCTGAATGTTTGCTGCAGCCTGTTCGTGCTCCCGTCAGACCTGTAGTAGGTTTCCCTGGACTAGGGCAGACAGGGCCAGGCATGTCTGTTCCCTCTTTTCATGCTGTCCCAGTGCTTGGGCAGATCCTCAGATGGGAATTCTGTGCAGAGTCCTACTTCCTATCCCTGGCATCAGTCCTGGCACAGTGGTAGAGGATGCAGGGGGAGGTGTATGAAACAACATGTCCATGGGAACTTGTGGTGTTCGAGGGTTAAACCCCAAAGCCTTACGGCAGCAGGAGCCTAAAATAATGCTGAAATGAGTTGTACAGCTCAGCCTCCTGTTCACGAGGACTGCATGGGTGCCTCCCCAGAGCCCAGAGGAATATGTTTTCAGTCTCAGTTTAGCTTTACCTTTTCAATAGGCTTTCTAGTGAGCCACACTACTCCAGGGCTCCACCTCTCTGAAAAACTGCTCTCTGAAAAGTTTGGTGAAGATCACTTTGCATTTTAGAGGGATGTGGGAAAACCCTTAGACTCACTGTCCTGTCAAAAGCAGCATTTATTTTGGGCAGGTTATGTGGTATTTTCATCATCATGGTCAATGCCTGAGTAAGCAGCTGTCCAGCCCAGGTGAGCTGGGAGGTTGTACAGTGTTTTATCCTGTGGGGTGCAGCCTGCTGTGTTCCTGGATTACGAGTTTGATTGCTAGGATGGGACCTGTGAAGGCTGTTTTGGCAGTGCCAGTGCTGTGTGTCCAGCTTGCACAAGCTTGGCCAGCTGTCTGTCGCAGTGGCCAGTGGGAGGCTCCCCGAGCTGAGTAATACAAGAGGAATGCAGAAAATGGCTGTGTAGAGGTGTCTGGTAAGGGAGGGGGTCAGTGCACGCTGGTTGTGGTGCCTTAGCCAGCACGGTTAGGAAAGGGGAATGGGCTGGACTAGGAATGGACAGGGGGACCTAAAATGGGCATTGAGAGAAGCAGTCCAGAGCAGAGGTGAAACCTGTTCAGTTATAAACACCACAGGCAATTTTAGTGTCGGAGTTTGGGAAGATGGAGCAAGCTGGGAACCTCTTAGGAGACAGTGAAGGAACAGGGGGGAGTCTAGAGCAATATTAACTCTGTGTTGCCTTTCTCCATTCCTGAATTACCCCAACATGCCCCAGGGGGACAGCCCAAGTTCTTAACATGCAGTAGAGCTCAGGTCAGAACCCTGGTCTGCCTGCTGAAGCCTCAGCTCTAGTTCTAGAGACACACAAATCCAGGGAGGATAGTCCTGAGGGCTCTTTCTTTCAGCCTGGCTAGTGCAGGGGCTGGAGGGCACGTGTGCTTTGCTGCTGTCCTTCAGTGCTGGCTGCTGCTGGCCGAAGGTGTCTCTGTGCGGGGGAGAAATGCTGCCTGATCAATGTGCATTTCCCCCGCTCACTCCTTTCACTTTCACTGTTACCAAATCTCCCAGAGCTGTTCCTGCTGTCAGGGATGGGGATGTTATCAAACACCATGCAGTGCTTTTGCCCTGAATTCCTCCTGTCCTTTGTTGCAGGTGTCAGATTTCCGCCTGGCATCAGCGTTCACAGCCTCTGCCATCAACGGCCCTCCAGTGCAGGGAGGGCTCCCCGTCTTCACCTGGAGACGGTTTAACCGCACGCGGCACCAGGGCCTGCCAGAATCGTACAACTTTGATTTTGTCACCATGAGGCCGATCCTGTAAAACCAGCATCAGTAGCCTCAAATGGATTTTTTTTTTTTTAATGAAGATTTTATTTCTTGTGTGTAATAAATCGACCTGGATGTCCACATCCCTGTGCCTTACCTGCTTTCCCCTGTCCTGCCTGATAGGCACCTGGTACTGGCGTTGTCTGCTTCAGTGCAGGCCAATGCATGTTACTTTCTTCTGAGCTGTTTGGGCAGCCCTTCCTCTGACTAGGATTGATGGGAAGCAGGTGGCACAGCTTTCTGTTGATCTGAGCCATCATCAGCTGTTCCCAGAGCTGGAGTGAAGAGCAATGCCAGAAATAAGAGTGATCAGTCCCTAGCGGCAACATGGGACCTGTCTCCAGGGTTGGGCTGAGCCAGGTGGCTGCTGTGGGCCATGGTGGCCTTACATCAGCATTAGTTTGATGTCTGCCTTTTGTCTGAGCAGTGCCTGCAAGATATGCTGCAAGATACGTTGCTTCCCATCCAGAAATGTCACTAATGGAGAGAGTCAAGGCTGTGTTCCCCATGGCAGGTCGGTCTGTTATCTACAGGGCACGGCTTTCAGTGATGTTGGCAAGGTTTTCTTTGTCTGGCCAAAACAGCTTGCAGCGGTCAGTCTGCCAGAGGGGGTGAAGGGAAGCAAGCAGCCTGATGCTTTTGGAAACACGCCCCTGCCCCAGGCTGCAGCATAACAGCAGGGACACAAGTGTGGTGCAGTGGATCTCTTGCAATGGATTGCTCTTGAAATGGATTGGCCCATGCAGTTGGTGACATCTGTACCTACTCCCTCAGCTGTGGCAGTGGAGTGTGACAATGAGATGGATGTGAGAGCCAGGGCTGGACGCATTACTCTTAGTTACCTGTATTTATGCTGAGGAGTGGAGTCACTTGGCTGTTTTGTGCTAGGTGTTATACGTGTAATTAAGTAAAACAAAATAAACAGCTCTTTCCACATGTCCTTGATGGTCCAAGCTAAACAGTGCACAGCACTGCCCTATATTATGAAGGTGAAGAAGGATGAGCAGTGTGAGGTTTTCAATCAAGCCCCTGGAGTTTAGTTTGTGTGATGGGGAAGAGAGTAAGTTACTGCAACATGGGCGAGGTTCTTCCCTAAATATCTGGTTGTTACAGTAAGGCTGATTTCTGCCAAAGAAAGAGGGAGACCAGAAGTTAAAGCAAAGCTATTGTTCAGGATGAAAAACCCATGCGGGGACTGAAACGCTTTGTTTGCTGAGGTGTAGAAGGAGGTAGGTGTGAAAGGCCGGAGAGAGCATCCTTGCCATGTGCAGGGTTAAGGGAGCACTGTTTAAAATTACTAACTGCTTAAGTATTCACTATAAAGCTGGTTTTTGCTTTTCAGTACAGTCCTTTGCTGGGTAAAATTGACTGAGCCAGATGACACAGATGAAGTGTAGGCATTGGTGTCTGTGCCAGTTGCAGCTGTGCCTGTGCTAGAGGAGGATTAATATGTGATGTTTGCTTGGTGCCCGGGTGCTCTCCACCTGCACGTATGGGGAGGAGGCTGCCATGGTCGCAGAGTTTTAGACACAGCACCCCCTCTTTACTCCTACCTGAGGCTCTCTGTCAGTGAAAGGTGCTTTGCCTGCCCACAGCTGGGACTGCAGGGACCTCGGCCTCTGTGTGAGCCCTTGCCCCAGATGCTTCATCCCTGCCCCAAGCTCTCTGTGCAGAGACCTCCTTCCTGTGGTGGTGGAGCCACTGGCACAGATTGGATTGAACAGGCTGTAACAGGCATTAAGGAGCACACTTAAAAGATGGAGTGGAGCTGGGTCATGAAGAGCAGTGCAGGGATCTGAGCTGCCAGCAAGCGGAAGACCAAGAATCAGCTGCTTGTTTGAAACTAGAAGCACAGAGGGGCTGGAGGATGGCTTGACTCCCCTGTCACTCCTAGAAAACACAGAAACATTGCAGGTTGTATTTTCTGCTTTTTCACACAATCTTATATGAAAATGCTAATGGAGGAGTATTGTATAAAAGTTGATTCCCAGGGAACAAGAAGTTGCCAATTGATTTGTGTTGAACAGTGTTCTTGATCCAGGGCACACTGAGATGCTTCCCCCTGCAGGGAGTGGAGATGTGTGGCACGATGTGCCCAGGACATGCCAAATATGCATGGAAATGGGAGCTCTGCGTTTCTCCCACTTAGTGTCCTACCCTGAGGCAGGAGCTGCTTTGTTCTCCAACCCAGAGTTGTGGAAAAACAGCTCTACTTTTAAGAGTCCTTTTCTGTGAGTAAATATTTACATCAGTACGACTTCACTCTGTGGGACTGTTGTTTTTTGGTTTTTTTTTGCCTTTGATGATTGTGCTGTTAAAGGCCACTGCATTCCTCTTACTGTGCTGTCCTGTGTGCCTCATTTGTTGGCAGAGCAGCCAAGGTTGATGTGCCAGCCATGAGCACAGCAGCTGGGTGGAGCTCCTCTTCCCTGTGCAGCTGCACCAGTGACCAGAGAAGGCTTTGAGCAGGGCTGCATGGCCCTGCAGGGGCAAGAGGACTGACAGCATAAGTCTCAGGCAGCTGCATGAAGTTTAAAGGTCTCTGAGTATCTTATTCCCTTTTGCAGGTCCCACATAAGAATGAAAAAAAAAAAAAAAAAAGGAAGGTGTGCTCTAAGCAGAGGATTTGTGGCAGAAGCTGCCCCCTTTTTCACACCCTGCTTCCAGGTTTTTCCAAGTCCTGTGGCTTCTGACTCTTCAGGTTTTCAGGCTTGGCTGGAGAGACACTTGGTAGGGAGGTGGTTGTGATAAACCTCTCCTGCAATAAGGAAAAGAAACCCGCTGTTCAGTCACTAGGCAATGCCTACAGAGGAAATGACTCCTCCCAGCAGGACCACCAAAACTGCCTCATGTAATGCAGGCTTTCACTTCCTTTGCCGTTTCCCTTTTCTGAAGTCCAGTAGCAAACTCACCTCTCCTGGTTTTACTGGTCTTAGTTCTGACAGGGTCTGTCACAGCACCCTCTGTCCTGCAGCAGGAGACACCTATGCAAGGTCTAACCAGTCCGTGCCTGCCTGTCTTAATTACTACATTGTAATCTTGTTAAACTAAGAAACTTGAGGTGGAAGCGTGGAAAAGAAACAGCTTTTTATTAACAAAACCCGAGTAAACAAGAAATGGTGCAATCGAAAACTTTCAGAAGAAACGAAACAAAGTCCCAATTCCCCAGGTGGGACGGGGGGCGGGAAGAAACCCACGGCACCCCGGGCAGGGGTGGGGGAAAGGCAGGACTGTCCCGGCAGTTCAGCAGCTGCTCAGAGCCGCGGGTACTCTCAGCTAGCACTGAAAAAAAAAGGTCCTTTTTCCCACAGGCCGTCCGAAGGCAGGATACCTCGCTCTGAGATGGGTCGGTCTCTCTCTCTTTCAGTTGTTCTCCACAAGGTGTCCCGTGGGGAAAAAAAACCCTTCCTCTCAGGAAAACAAAAGGAGGCGGCCGAAACCGCGCTCCCTGCTCCGTCCGATCCGCGACCAAAATCTAAACCCCCATCGAACCACAGACTCCCAGCCGACCCCTCGGAAACCGAATTTCCCGGGAGAGCTCGCCCTGCCCTGCGTGTGCGGCTTCGCTCCGTCCCTTCACTCCCATCCCGGAAAAAACTAATGGGGGCGGGGGGGGGGCGGACACTGGGGGAAAAAATCCCAACATCTCTTCTTTTCAAACCTATGACACTGCCCAGACCAGGCTCCACAGCACTTCCGAGGGAGAAACCAACACCATTCCTTGGTCAGTGTCCTGGTGCTGTGCTGCTGCTGGGTCAGATTACTTAGCCTGCTCCTGGGTTTTTGGTTTTTTTTCCCCCAAGTTTCCTTAGTAGGAGTGTGGTGGTGTGCAGAGGTGCACTTTGCTGTTTGAACATTCTGCCCTGAGGCAGTAGGACCTTTCCAGACCTACCATTGAGCCTCTGCCAAAGCCACCCTGCAGCAAAACAGTGAGTGCTCTGCGTGTTCCCTTACTCACTTCGCTTTACTCCAGCACAAACTGCAATTACAGCAGGGCTTGAGCAGAGTGGTTACGCTGTATTTGATGCTAAAACTCATGTTCTAAACTATGTGCAGTAGGTACTCTTAGTCTAAATAGGCAGTTTGAGAAACGCAGGACTTTGAAGTGGGATGGTGCTGAGGCATCACTTCACAAGAGTCCATTATCTTCTGGTCAGTGACTTGAAGCAAATTTTAGTAAGTGCAAGGACACTAATTATTACCATTACAAATTAACTATAAGCCCTCGAAGTATAGGGTCAGCACTTACTTGGGGTAGGCATGTCTGTAACTCCAAGTTCTAAGTACTTTGAGTTCTCTACAATTTGGCAACAGAGTTGGGTCCAAGAAGCAGCTTTTCCCAGACTGCTGTCTAGTCCAGCAGCTTATTGGTACCAATTAAGTTGAGCAACATATGTCATGGTGGCGTTCCTGGCTTCTACCCTTGAAGCAGCAGGGTGGGGAGCAGATCCCTGCACTGAAACACCCTTTTTGTTACCCCTTGTTTCATTACTCGTGACAGATGCAATTAGTGCTGTGCACAACAGGTGCCCCCTGGCTTGAGAACGAGAACAAGTTGAGACCACTGCTGCAGGCTCAGGCACTAATGCTAAAGGGTGCTGTGAAAAACCAAAGTCATCTCCGGTACTTTGGTCAGAGCTTCTTGCTAAGAGTGACTATTTTTTCAGAGATCAAACCCGGCACTGCGGAAGAAGATTGTTTTTGGAGTAGCACGAGCAACTGGATTTCCATTCCTGTATCTCTCTGGGGCAACTCTGGGGAGCAGGTTACGTGATTTTATCTGTCCAAACTTTGCAGAAGTGCATGCAAGGTGGCTTTCCAGAAGTTACAGCACTGCTTTTGTTTCTTGCTTCTGTGAGGGCAGCACCATGCAGTTGCTTCCCTGGGAATGACCAAGAGCCAAACTATTGTGGCCGAGTGTTACTTAAGCGAGGTGGCGCCACCTCTGAAGAGGAAAAGCAGGCTCTGGGCTGTTTTTTGAGAGAGTTGTCTCCTGAGGTGTCAGGAACTAAGCACAGATGACTCAGAATGTTAAAAACCCAGAAGTTTATTTCAAAGTATAAATTTCAGGCTTGTCAGACAAAACCCCACTACAATTAATACAGACACGCACTAATCTACAGTACATACAAAAATGGGGAGAGCTGGCAATCGCCCAGTTTAAATTGGACATTAAATCAGTTCTTTTGTATTTACAAGTCCAGCTGCAAAACAAAACAAGGAATCAGATTTGAAGTTTCCCAACAAAGGATTTTGCATGTTTGACTCCCAATAGTCAATAAATTACTAAAGCTGAAGAGGACTTCCCAAACAGCTACTACCCAGTTATCTTATTTACAGCTACAACTCATTAAATTAAGACAGCACCTCAAATATATATATATATGTGTATATATATATGCATGTGTATATGTATATAAAAGAGAAGAATGCTCAGCCTACATAACGATGATAAGAAATAAAGATGCATTTTTAACTTAAAAGGTATGAAAAGGAAAAATCATTCATTTGCTTTCTCCTAGCTATCCTTATCATTTTCCTTCTCCCCTCAGAAGATGTTTTGAAGGGAATACAGATTTGGGTGGCAGGCCTGGCTCAATTTCATTTGAACTCCTCTCCCTCCAGTGTTTTCATATAATGCCCAGCCCAACCCAAATCAGCAAAATTAAAAAAATATATATTTAATATTTCAAGCTTCTATTTAAAATATCTGCATAGATATTTTTGACTAAAGGAAAATACTCAAAAGAGTTCATAAGAAGGCAGAATCACAGTTTGATTTCTTACAGTGTATGCAATACTTATTCTGGGGAATGGTTGTTTAGGGAGCAGCAACAGACGTGACCCATCCCTACATACAATACAGATTTTAATTTATTGGACATTTAAGACAAACAGCATGAAGGGTGGGCTGAAGTGACTGTTTTTGTTACAGTACAAAATGGTGTTCAGATTCTACTACTGGGTCCAGTCATGCTCCCAGTGAAGGCACAAGGGGTTTTGCCTTCATTTTCAAAGGAAGCAGGGCAAGACCCCTTAATTTTACAGGGAGAACACCATGGGTGTAATTGTTCCTTGAAATAGGCAAAAAATTAATTAAACCTAGAAAAAATTCAAGGCATTTTCCAGCTTAGTGCTAAAAGCCTTGGGAATGGGTGAGTGTCTCAGTGCTTGTGCTCAGTGGTCTAACACGGCCAAAAGTAGTACAAACAATTAAAAGGAGCAAAGTCTAAACCCAACTGCTACTCCTAGGGAAGCCGCTGACAGGCTGGGCGGAACTTGCCTCTGCACCCTTGTGCAGATGCTGCACTTGCAGTCTGCCCCCTCCCAGGGTTTATTTTTTTGTATCCAATAAAGCTTTTTTAGACACAGAGCAAAATAAAAGTGAAGCTGTAACTAGGAGAAATGCAATGGACAGGAATGGCATTTTGCCATCAGCACTGCACAGCAGGGCTCCTCTCCAAGTAGATGGACTAACCCAAATTACATTCAACCTGGACATCGAGAGGCTGTTGTGACACACAACCCAAACCTAAAACACACCAGAAAGTAAATAATGATGGAAAACACAGCTGTAGAGTCAGTGCTGTGTTTGCTAAAACATGGGAAACTAAACCCAAGGCGGTACTACGCAAACGTCATGTACCCAGAGGCAGCAGCAAAACATGCAGTCAGGAACAACTTTATACCAGGCTACTGAAAGTCAGATGGAAAAACTTGCATCAAGTGCAGATGAGAAACGAAAACCAACTTTTCCACTTAAAATCCATACAGAGATTTTTAGCATATTTAAAAGTGGATTATTGGAAGGCTCAAGCAATTCACACTAATGAAGAGACCAGTCTAGAGAGACAGTAGTAACAGACCTGTAATGAATGTTCCTGAATATTCTGGTAATACTTTCAAATAAATTCTGTTAAATGAAACAAATTATTTCTGATTGTTTGTTGCTAACAGAAATTTAGTTTCTCAGTAACTTTATTCTTTCTGGGAGGTAAAGCATAATAAAATAACCAGCCACTCCACCACACGGAGATAAGTGCCATGAGGTAAGGAACTAAGCAATATTCCTGTTTGTTAGCATAAGGGGTCTCTCTTGAGCCAGAGCCAGTTTTCACAATCAGTTCAGTGAAGAACACGAGTAAATAAAGATGAGTCTTCTGTCTCTAAGGATGCAACTTGCAAAACCTCCGAATGGAATGCCAGACCATCCCAAATAATACCTTACTGAAGGAAAGAAAAAAGATTCTAACACAGGACTGGCACCCCGTGCCTTTCCCAAACAAGACAAACCTAAGAACAACGGAGATCTAAATGCAAGCACAAACTACAGAAAAGCTCATTTATTGTTTGGGCTAGAATCACAACTAAGGGCATAAATTTCAGGCTGGAGTCCAATTTTAACTTTTAAAATCTCATTGTACTGATACGGCCAAGGGCTCTTTGGTACCATCTCAAAGACACATTAAAAAAAAAATTGCCCAAGGAGGACTTGACAGCAATCAACTGGAAAGAACTGCTCTAAGCTCTACTACAGAACTGGCTTTATAAAAACCCCACTTTAGACTAAATAGACTAAATGCATTATTAAGTAATTGTTCCTTGAAATAGGCAAAAAATTAATTAAACATAGAAAAAATTCAAGGCATTTTTGATTATTGGCACCAGAAATACAGGGACAGCTGTAGTTCAGAGAAAATCAATCATACACGAGAGTTGGTGTGAACCTTCTCTGGTGATACTTGGATTTAGCCAGAAATTTTTGCTTGCCCAAATCAACAGAACTGCTGTACTTTAAATGTAGGTTTCTATACCGAGAATAGTTGTTACTCACTTGACAGAAGTGACAAACAATCCCAGCTACATCAAGGAGTGCAGTAAACCAGACAAAAGTCTACAATGTAATTTCTTTCACCATTAAAAGTTCTCAAAAGGAGCACTGCTAAAGAACCCATAGTTTATTTTAGTATATTAAGTATTTAGTATTTAGTATATTAAATATTTAGTATATTTTACCGGTCCTGTTTTGGGATTTAATTCTTCTGACACTTTTTCAACCTTGCTTTACACTTCAAAATGTTGGTTGAAAGAAAAAGGGCATCACAATGAAAAAATGTCATATTCTGCAGTTTTGCTACACGGTGGATTAAAAAAAAGGAATCTTCCCCTCTAAACCCATTGTTTGGTTTCGTTGGGCAGGAATGCAACTGAAAATTGCCAAAATCAAAACCTTACATACACTTTCTTGTCCAGGTGAGTTACAACTTGGCTCTGCAAACAGCAAGTTTAACTTGTCAACAACAGCAGGGCAGATGCACCAATTTTCTTTTCTCAGCTCAGAAGCATCACGAAAGCATCTAATACCATTTGCAATTACTCACAAGGTTTAGGCCAGTGTCTAAAATAGTTTCTAAATTCCTTTGGCTGTGTTGGCTTTTTGCAGAGGCAGGCAGGTGCTGAGAGAGAGAACACAACTGGGAGGCCAACTTCTCTGTCTGTACTCACTGAACATCCAAACTTGAGTGCCAGGAGGCAGAAGCTTTCATGGCGCCGCACCACGGAGGTTTCTTCTTTGGCTGAACTGCAGCACACAGCTTTTCCAAAAGAACAGGGAAAGGCTCTGGTGGAAAATACTGTCTGTATACTCTAATATTCTTGACACAACAAAAACAACTGCTCAAGAATTACAGTGAGCTTGAAAGGGTTGAGTGATACTCAGATAGAATGCAGATAAAAACAAGTTAAGCGTCAGCAGATGTTACACTTCCTGGTCTTTACAGAAATAATAATTACTGCAGGCCTGGAAAATGAGAAGCACTAATGAAAGACTAGAAGGGTAAAGGGAAAAATAACTCCAAGCAAAAAAAAAAAACACCAAAAGGTATCTGGCTACATTTTATTTTTAAAATTATTCTTTAAGGCACAAAATAAATCTAAAAAATAGGGCTGGACGTATATGAGGGGAGGGGCAGAGAAACTGTCTGAACTAGAGAGGTGTGAATGCAGCTCTACAATCCACTTTCAGATATGACCCGGGAACGCTCCCAGGGCGAGTGGGGGAGGATGGTGAAAGTAGAGGAGTGTTCTTATTTATAAGAGGTAGGAAGTTGTGGGGCGATTCCTCCCCCCTCCCCTCCACCTCCAAATTTAGACACATATGGATTACTGGCCAGACTAGAAGTTCCCTTCTAGTCTCAGAGAGCTCATTCCAGTTGGTAAAGTAAGACCAGACCACTCAGTCCTCCAGTACAAATGTGTGTTTTGCTTCAGACAAACTGTAATTTACTATTTTGTTCCCCCTCAGAAGCAGAATCCCAGGCATTCGGGATGCCCTTTGATAAAGGGTAGATAGGTATCTATATGGAACAGTTGTCATGGATGCAAAAATGAAATTTTCAAATGGCCCATGACATGAACTATTCAGAAAAAACAGGCTCTCTTGCTGCAGGTGACACTTTATTTTTCTTTTGGTTCTAAATGCATGTAGTGTATCACACAACTGTCTGAAATAATCCTGCAGAGAGTGGATTTAAAAGTGAATTACATGCATGGGATCAACTCCCCCCACAACCGGGGTAATTCTTGGTACCAGGGCAGGTTTAAAGCCTCCAAAGATCTCCGTTTAACTGCTCTGAGAAGAGATCACGTCTGTGGACTGGGGGTCACAGAAGGGTCCAAAACGTCCATAGATGTCCTTAGCCCGGACTGCAAAGTAGTATTTGCTGCCAGACACGAACTGTGTAAGAGTACATGCCATAGGGAGAGGGAGGGCCTTCACTTCCCCAATCTTCTTCCACTGGGAGGGCATAGTGGCACTCGGGTCCTCGTGGTAGGCGTAGAGATGGTAACTGTCCACATTGGCACAGCTCCGGTCCACCTCCATGACACTCCATGACAGCACAATTCCATTCTGGCTCTGTACCCGTGCCAGCTTCAGCTGTGGCTTCTGAGGTGGAGAAGTGCTGGCAGCTTCGGGGGGCAGACGCGGTGGCTGTGGTGCCTCTGGAAGTGGGGCAGGATGTACAGGGCGTGGTGGCTCCTAAGCAGCGTAAGGGCAACAAGGGAAAGGTCAGAGTTTACAGGAGTTGGAAGGCAGCTTTAATTCATCATTCTCCAGGTTAACTAGAAGCAAATGAGCCTGCAATCACAACTTTCAGTCCTGTGTGCAGAGGCAAGGGAGCAGCAGAAAATGTTGAGAAGGGGTGGGACCAAGGATGCCATAAATTCTTATATTATGCACATATAAATCTGTAGCTCTACAGTTGATCATTGCTGCAGTTATCTCCCTATATCCTCTTTGCTTCCCAGCCAAGAGGGGATGGAGTGAACACTGTGCTCTTTACCACAACTAAGCAGGCAGGTTCACAATGACTTAGAGCCAATCTACGTTTGAGCTGCTGTTCCCACGTTACCCAAACACCCCAGGCAGTGCATTAAGCTGACTGCTCATCATCTTTTCGACAGACAGGTTTTTCAGTCACAAATGGAAGAAAGGCTAATGGTGCTACATGGATTTTATCACCTTAAATTCATCACAAAAGCTCAGCCTCAGTTTCCAGAAAATTTTGAAGTAAGGGCAAAAATGTTCCTTTCTAATGATATTTTTTTTTATACTGCAAAACCAGACCTAGGTCTCTTGTTTATGCCAGTTAAAATGAATTTAGGAACATGATTACGATGAGTATGAAATTTTGTTATTTTTCAAGCCTGGGGTCTTTCAGGTTGGAATCTGGGGTAGATTTTGGCATCTTAAGTGTTCTGTGTGATACTGGCTTGATTTAGTCTCATTATTTGTCACTGGAGAATGCATGAAGTTGAATGTTGTCTAGACTGAAAGAATGGTAAGCCACCTTCTTGCTAATATATTTACCATTTCAGGATACCGTAAGTAATGCAACTGCCCAACAGCGAGTGTGCAGGTAACTTTCTTGAAATTATTTAAATGAGTCAGGAAAAATTCTCAAATATTTACAAAAAGGGATTTGAGTCAATGCAGAAGTAATCACCCCTAACAGCGATTAAAAAAACCCCTCTGAAATACGGAGTTGGCAACCTTGGGGATCTTGTTTGCATGTTCTATTTCCTCAGTTTTGCAAACAGCTGTACTGAAAAGCTGGTGAGCCAATTCATAGCCAAACCATGACTAAACGTTTTTAGTGGCAGTTCTTCTGTACCCTTGACTCCACAAGTCAGTGCAGACAATTCATGTACTCTTTTTCAATATGTGCCACTGGTGATTTGGAGAAGGCCAGGGTAAACTAACACACTGCACCGCTTTTACCATTCTGGGCAGAAGTTGCTGTAGACGACTGGGTGGGGCTGTGCAGGTGAACTGGCTAAAAAGTGTCTAGAAGACACATCACTATTTTGCAGTTCACCCTAAGAAGCAATCTGAGAGGTACTAATGCAGAGACAGGCTTGTAAATTGCATCCAGGAATTTGAAAAGCACCACTCACAGCATGCGCTTGCGGCGGCCGATGATGCACTGTCAGCTGAGGTGCTCCAGACCCGAGAGTCAGCCCGTTGTTCACAACATAGGTTGTCTGAGGCATTCGCACTGCCATCCCTGTAAGAAGCACAGTGAATACTTTTGAGTATTCAATAATTACAGTCAGTTAAACAGAACACTAGAAGACCAACTCCTTTGTTCAGCTGGATGAAACCAAATTTCAGACACAGTCTCCTCAATCTTCCAGCAGACTGATGAAGCACTGCCTAACAACAGAATCACCTCCCATCCCCTGAAGCTGTAAAAGTGAGGAGAGCGCAAATGCTTATGTTTGCAGACGGGGCAAAATCTTGCTTTAATAATTCGTAGCATGAAAGAAATGGGTGGGGAGTGGAAGAGGGGGGAGATACAGGGAGCTTAAGTATGAAAAGAAAAACTACACTTTGAGACAGAAAAGATAAATGCTGCTTCTGCAGCAGACTGAGAGCTGTGCTGAGGGTGGCACTGAAAACAAAAAAGGTAAGTCACAGTCCAAGAAGCTTGTCCTCCCTCAAAGAACAGACACCATGATGGATATTACTCACAGGCATCACCATTTCATTCATTCCCACAGCAAATTGACCTGACTGGCAGGAATAAACTAGGCATTTTTACAGCCTTGCAGATAATATCCAAAACTCTTGCAAGCTACCAAGTTTTCATTCATTTTATACTACATCTGATTCTCTTAAGTAACACTTCATCTATTCATACAGGTATGTGCTGTGAGCTCAAAGCTTTTGCTCATTGTTACGGGTCGTCTTGAGTGTCCCTCCATTTCTGTCCAGAAATACAAGTTTTTGGGCAATTTCTACCACCCTTCCACACCTCTGTGAGATGGAAGCATTCTAATACTCCAGAAGATAAGCTTGCAGAACAACATGTATCAGGAAACCACAGCTACTGAATGGCAATTTTTTTCTCTATATAAACATCCACCAAACTACAATCACAGGGGATGAGTGTCAGAAGTCCATGATCTGCAAGTCCGAGACAGGGAGCTCAGAGTGCTGAACTTTAGCACTTTATAATAAAAGCGTTAAACACTAGGTAGGTACTTCACATCTTTTTCCTATTGGCAAATCTATCTAAGAAGCTGATGAAGCTGTACAAACTCCCGTAGGATAGACAGTCACCTGAGTTGGCTATTTCTCACCTATGAGAATCCAACGAGGCCAAGTGCCGGGTCACTTTGGCCACAACATCCCCATGGCAGCGCTACAGGCTGGGCACAGAGTGGCTGGAGAGCAGCCAGGCAGAAAGGGACCTGAAGTTTGGATTGAGCCAGCAGTGTGCCCAGGTGACCAAGAAGGCCAGTGGCATTCTGGCCTGGATCAGGAACGGTGTGGTCAGCAGGAGCAGGGAAGTGATCCTTCCCCTGTGCTCAGCACTGGTCAGGCCACACCCTGAGTATTGTGCTCAGTTCTGGGCCCCTCAGTTCAGGAAGGATATTGAGGTGCTGGAGCAGGTCCCGAGAAGAGCAACCAGGCTGGTGAAAGGACTTGAGCACAAGTCCTGTGAGGAGAGGCTGAGGGAGCTGGGGTTGTTTAGCCTGGAGAAGAGAAAGCTCAGGGGTGACCTCATCACTCTCTGCAACTACCTGAAAGGAGGTTGTAGCCAGGTGGAGGTCGGTCTCTTTTCCCAGGCAGCTGTGAGTAAGACAAGAGGGTATGGTCTTAAGTTCTGCCAGGGGAGGTTTAGGTTGGATATTAGGAAGAAGTTCATTACAGAGAAGGTAATCAGACATTGGAACAGGCCGCCCAGGAAGGGGGTGGAGTCACCATCCCTGGAGGTTTTTAAGGTGGGACTGGATGTGGCACTGAGTGCCGTGGTCTAGTAACCATGGCAGTGTTGGATCAAGGGTTGGACTTGATGATCTCAGAGGTTCTTTCCATGATTCTGTGATTCACATGCACAAAAGAATTAGCCAGCAGCCCCACATTCCAGGCTAATGGCCTCAGACAACTGTAGGAGGGGAGGTGGGTTTTTTCTCCTTGGGAAACCAAATCCTCACTTTACTTCTGCCCTGACTCAGGGAAGGTGTGTGTGTAGAGGGGGGGCTCCGGAATTCATTTTGTTTTCGGCTGGGTCATCTGGCTGCCTTTGGCCTCAGTCTGCCTTCATTCTCTTGCGCCCTGTTCTGCTCACGGCCTGGACCTGCCTTGGATTTCAGCAGAGAAGCCAGGGCCATCTGCAGCGGAATCTTTGAGGGAAGAGGCCGCCCCTTCCCTACTCCATTCCCATGTTGACAGCAGCATCGACAAAGCGGGAGAATCCCAGCCAGAGCCAGCCGCCGACAGCGTGAGTTCATGGGATGAACCCCTTTTTCCCCTTCCCCTTCTTGTGGGGAGGAAGGAGAGGGGAAAGATCTCAATTTTTGGCTTCTCCCGCACACCCGGGGCCTCCACACAGCGACTGCCGGAGCCCAACAGCGCCCCCTGCCGGCCAACACAGAGCACCTGCGGGCTCTGCTCCTCCAGAGTCAACAGTGCCCCTGCTGGTCGCGGTTAGAATTGCGCTGAAAGGCGGAAAGTACTGAACTGTTTTTGGTGGGAACCTTGGGTGCAGGATTGTTGGTTTATTTTGCTCTTTTGTTGTGCTGCCTTTACACATATATCTTTTAATAAAGGGTTGTTATCTTTTCTTTCTCCGTCTTTCCTCAACTGGAGCCTTTTAATTTCAAATTTACAGTTGCTGAGACGGAGGAGCTTGGTCTTCCTCATCCTCCTTAGCAAACACTTCAGTCTCATTAAACTGAGACAGGTGGGCACAGGACATTGGAGATTTGTAAGGAATGATATTAGGACGCCTGAGAGAAATATGACTTTTATATAAGAAATCAAACATGGTTTACTACATATAGATATGTTTTAATCTTATAATAAAAGAATGGTCTCCATCTTTCCATGGAACATGGTGCTAATCATATTACCTTCTGCTACCTTGTAAAGTACACTGTATGTCATCTGGAGATGCTTAATTGGCAGAGCTGGTGCCTGAGATGACTTAAATCCAGTTTTTCTTTATTCACATAGCTGCAGGTTTCTTAGTAGCCTAAGATTTTTCTCAAGTCTGTAAGCTGGAAAAAAACCCTTAACCTCTGTAACTTGGACCAGTATTGTAAAGAGACCAAACAGGAAACCCAGACAAAAAAACTAAATCCCACATCCATGAGGTAGTATCACAGTAAGAAGTGCATGGAAGGAATCATCCCCTACCTCCAGCCTGCGGGTTGACTGGCCTTAAACCTGGATTTGTCATGACAGCTCCTCTTACAGGATTCTGAGCTGGTGGTGCAGGAATAGTGGTATAGACCACCTGATGGTTAGCAGGGGTTCTTGGTATAGGAAGCTTTGGAGCAGTTTGAGTCACAGGTCGATGAGTTACATTCACTGTTGTCGGAGCTGAAAAAAGACAGACAGACAGACCCTGGAATCGAATTCCATTACATGAAGCTATATGCCTATTCTAGAGTACACATCTCCTTCGGCAAACTGACTCATCTGAGCCGTGTAAAATTAAAACTGTCTCTGTGAAATTCTATCTGGTTTTGATAATGCAAAAAAAGTGAAAACAGTCTAAAGAAGCAGTATTTTCACCTGAAATCTTAATGTCAATATACATACAAATTCCTAAAAGAAAAGATAAATATTATACCTCCCCTGCTCCCAAAGGTCTGAATGTAAGGACAGTGGTGGAGAATCTAAAACCCACCACCAAAGAGTCTGCAGAACAGATCAGTCATAAGACAATTTCAACACCAACTTATCTTCAACAATCATATACAGAAAAATAGAGTAAAATAAGGGGAAAAAAGGAGGATCTATGTTTCTTTATGTTAGAAAAAAAAGGGGAAAACTTAATCGCACTACAGACAAAATAATATTTATCTAGGGATAGAACTTCAATGCCAGCCTTGCCACTCACTCTGTCAAAAGGAGTAACTAACTGCCAAGTGCACAGGGACAGATAATATTTTTCCCCATTACTTAAATAAGGCAGCTATTACAGGTTTTTTCTACTTCACTTTCACAAACAACAGTATACTTAATAACTTCCATGACCCATCCTTAGTAGGATTTCTTCCTCCCCATGGAGTTAATTTGATCCTGAATTCTTTCCAAACCAGTAACATTATTTTTCCCCTTTACTTCAACATTTTTTGGGGGGGGAAAAGAAAAAAAGTTATGGGAAACTGACCAGAATGAAAGATTAAGAAGTGACCTAAACATTCTGAATATTCACTTGAAAAGATTAGCACAAGGTAGAACACACAAGAATCTAGTTTTAGAAAAAACATCAGTCCCTGTATTCACACATTGTGATGAAGTAAGATTAAGTTACCTGTAGGCAATACATGTATAGCGGTCTGGGAAGGCCCACTGGTCGGCACACCTGTCTGCTGCGCGGGGTTTGGCTGCAAAGGTGGCACACTGGGTTGCAAGGGCCGAGCCGAGGGCTGGGTGGGTGTGCTCAGTCCTGTAACTGGTGTCTGGTTTTGCTTCGGCTTCTTGCCATCTGCTTTACAATAAAAGAAAGTTATAAACAATCGCAAATAGAAGTTTTCATTTCTGAATCAGAATTTTAAACATCACAAAGTTTTAAGATCTCTTTCCCCTGTTCCCCATTTACAGATTAGTGAGTGTATTTCTGAGCATGACATTTCTTTGACCTTTCCGTTCTGCAAACAAATCTGCAGAAAATTCATTCAACTCCCCTTACTTTTATCATTGTTATCTCCCCCCACCTCACTCCATAATGTTTTATCCTATCATCATGAAGTCTGCATATTTCAGTGCAATTTGGAAACCTGAATGTAATGGAACACCATGCCAAAGTCTTACAAAAAAGATTTCCTAAGCCCTTTAAAAGGCCTTTGATGCTTACATCTTGTTATTTGCTGACTCTTTTCTTTGTTCAATCTGTTAGTCAGTCCTGTTTGTTGCTGTTTTAAATTTTCATGCTATTTGCTTGTAAAGAGGACTCATTTCATTATTTGTAGAAAACTTTATAAGGAAAATTTGTTTTCTCACATTGACATCCTCCTCAACGTGACTTACTGACTTCGAAAAGTGACAAATAGTGTCTGTATCTGTAGTTCACTACAGCAACATTTTTTCCTCCCTTAGTTTATTTGTGACAAAATATTCATTAGAGTGGAAGTCCATATCTAATCAAGCCTCTGCACAAGTTGAATAAAGAAGAATTGAGAAGCTTTTGCCTGGACAGTTCAACTAGATTAGAGTAATAGTGGGGAGAGAAGACACCATCAAGAGCTAAAAAGCGCAAGATAAATGAGTAGGTTTTAAGGGCACTCATTCAAGAAAGATTTGCCCTAACTGTACATGCAACAGCCACTAATTTAGTAAAGGAGCAAGATAAAAATACGTTAACACTCATTTTAGTCTTCAGAAAACAATATAGTGAAGAACACCTTTTTGAAACTTTCAATTAAGTATACCAGCTAGATTTCAAACATTAAGAACAGGGTTAATGGCAGCATAACTCAAAATTTTGTGAGTTTTAGCAGTTTGAGACAATTTTGATGGTCTCAGCGAGCTGCCTTTAACACTAGCTACTAGCAGCTTGAATTAACAGTACCCTTCAGAAACTGCTACAGGATTCTATGAAACACAGTTACAGAATCACAGAATCAGCAAGGTTGGAAGAGACCTTCAAGATCATCTAGTCCGGCTGTCAACCCAGCACTGCCACAATCTCCCCTAAATCATATCCCCAAATTAAAGACCTCAGAAATAAAACAATATGAATTGTAGACCTTTCTGTAGACTCAAGAGCCAAGTTACTTCACTGAAGTCATTTGATCAAAATGCAATTTTCTTTCTTTTTTTTTCAAAGTCTATAAAAGGAGCAGTAAAGGGATGCTCATTTTGAAAACAAAAGGTGAGATGTTTCCGGCTCTTTCATCAACTAAGAGGCCTTGTGATGGTTCAAGTTTCTTTTACTTTCCATGAGTATGAGAAATTTCCCAGTGTTCAACAAACTGCTTGATTCTGAAGAGATTCACACAGATGCACATGTCTGTTTACTTTAAATATTTACAGACTGATGCACATTTCAACTACCACTGAATAACTGAAGTGACATGAGTGCATTCTTAGTCATGACTTAGAAGATGTGCTTATAATCCAACAAGTAAAATCCCAGACACACTACTGCTGTAAAAATGCAGGGTTTTTTTCTAGGAAAATGTTGGTCTGGACAAATGTGAGAGCTTTTTAAGTTATGTTTTTAATCTCACACAGAGTAAGTTCATTTCTCCTTGACAAATCAAGAACCCTGCTGACATTCCAGTTGCTGGAAACTAGGTCAGGATTGCACCAGCCACAGGAAATGATGAAAGATAACCATCTAGAGTTCACTAAATATATGGAAACAAATGGGAAAGGCTATGTAAAAAAAAAAACAAAACCCAGCAAGGAAAACAGGAAGACTTGGTGCACAGTAAGCACAGGACTAAGGTTAAAAGTAATTAACGAACAGTTCCAATATTAAACGAACACAGCACCATATTCGTAACAAATATGGACCTACAGGAGATGGCAAAATCTGATTTATAGAATGAGCATAATATGGAAATCATGGAAAAGAAGGGGGGCTAATTTCCATGCCAGAAACTGGGCCTACAACACTGCAATTATAGCACAAAGGAGTTTTAAACACTGTACTAATTCATAACTGGCACAGTGGGATTACAAAACAGCAAACATGCCATACGCATGTTCAAGAATAATAAAAAAGATCCATGAAACTACAGATTTTTTGAATCAAACACCTTATAAAATAAAAAATTGATACTATGTATTCAATAATTTTTCCTGCAAAATAAATAAAGTGGAACATACCTTTCTTAGATCACAAAGCCATTTTACTCTTTTGTTTTAATAATCTTATAATTTGACACTGTGTGCTATACAAATATTTTATAAAAAGGACTGCAAGGTCCAAAATACAAGTATGATACTTGCAGACACAAAAGTATCTAGAGTACTCTGATGAAAGGCTGGCAACTGTTCTGAACAGAAATTATTAACATGCTTTCTTGAAGGTTACACAACACTTTCATTAACAATTTTTGCACACATCAAGTATTATTAAATATTAGTAGATATTAATATCTATTTAAGTATCTAATACAAGTAACATCTTTAAGTTTACTTTATATGTGGGTGACAATGCTTTAAAGAAAACAATCAGGATCTGAGTGTTCCCAAGAACACTATGTTAGTGTTTCTCTTCTACCTGAATTAATACTGAACTAATATTCCTGCAGAAAACAACATAACGCCTGAGATTTTCTGTTTGGAGGTTGTGTACAATAAATCTAGAACAACACGAAACTTGCTGCACATTTGCTGTAAACAAAGGGCATTGGAAAAAAAATTTAGCCAAAGGTATACAGATGCATATGATTATACAAAAGCTGTCAGAAGTGTACTCTTCCTCTGTTTAACCTGATTATTATCAGAACACATTCCCAAGAAACTTACTTAAAAATCCTAGTGATCTATTCTCACTGTATTGTGAAACCCAAGCTTTTACTAGGGTTTTGGTTCCTGTGTTTCTACAGTTTATGTAAAAAGTACTGACTCTTCACATAAACTCTAAACATGAACTAATCTGCATGGCTTCAGACTATCAGCGAGAGTCTAGATTCTGCTTTGCAGTGCAGAGACACACAGGAGCTGACCCAGCCTGAAAGTACCCCCTTAACCTTCCGCCTAATGGAAGGACAGCTTTCTAAAATGTGACATCTAAGGGGAAAGAATCTCAGAATATCCCACTGAAGAAATTTTTAAGATACCAGTTCAAGCCCCAACAAAGAAACTGAGGAAGAATTAAGTTACTACACTGTAATTGAGCTACAACTCTATAGCAGTCCTGCCTAGAGAAGCATCTTACATGCAACCACAGTGTTGATCTTTTATGGCAATTGTGAAATGAAAATCTTCTTAATGCAATCAGGGAGAAAAAAACTCTCTGGAAGATGTTACTTTTGATAGAAAATGATTAGCTGAAATACATTACAATACTGTGACACATTACTTTAAAACATACCATAAATCCATTTAGATCTATCTGCTGGGTGCCTTTTACAGAATGTTAAAGTAGGACTGGGAAGGTTAACCTTATCTGACAGGCTTGCACAATCCCAGGGTAACCAACTTTTTTTATCTTTTTGAGAACTAACATGCAGAAGAGATGACAGTGATTGCCTGAGCTATTCTGCCACTCAGCTCAGCAATTCAAAATCCTGGTTGAAAAGGACCTCTGGTGGCCATGTAGTCCAATTTCTTGTTGAAGCTGGACTGTCACCAACACTAATTCAAAGCCCTGCTGAATCTTAAGAACATTTTGAGAGTGGAGCTTCTACCATTGCTCTGTGCTGCACTGTGGTGATTTCTTTTCCCCTCAAGCTCAGCGTGAACCTCCTGAATTTGTAGTTCGTGGCTCTGCTGAGAAGTTGTGTCCATCATCTTTGTAACAATCCTCCAAGTGGTTGTAGGCTGCTATTACATTGTCTTTTGCTTTGCTCTTTGCCAAATATGCCATGGTCTGTTGATCTCTTCTCACAGGTCATGCACTCCAGGCCCCCACCACCCTGACACCATCTGTGAGTCCCTCTCAAGTGCTACCACAACTCTTCTGAGCTCAAGGAAGGGGAGCCAAAACTGAACATTGTATTTCAGCTGTGGTCCTATCAGTGTCAATATGGGGGGAGTAATTACTTGAAATGAGAACACACTGTTGGCTCATACTCAATTCACTATCCACCACATATTCTCTACTGATAAAAGAACGAGATGGCCAGCTATCTGGATTACATCGTGCTTCCCTAATACTTGTACACCACACCCACTCCACTTTTGGTGATAACATCACATGAAGTGTCCAAGGTCAGGCTGGATGGGGCTCTGAACAACCTGGTCTGCTGGAAGGTGTTCATGCCCATGCCAGGGGGGTTGGAACGATATGATCTTTAAGGTCCTTTCCAACCCAAACCATTCCATGGCTGTGATTTCTTCTTCATTGAAAGAAATGCTACCACATGCCAGTAAGATTTTCTACATTTGAGGAACACAAATAAAGCAAGTTAAGCTATTAAGAATGTTTGTATAGAACCTGAATGCACTAGCTGGACAAACAGCTATTGAGGTTGTCCAGAGGAATCAAACTTCTTGGTGGCTGGACTTCAGAATGCAGCGCAGGGACATGCATTTAGGGACTATATAGAAAGAAAATTTTATCTCCAATAGTAGAAATATAGTTTTTCTCAATGAAGATGGCAGCACAATACAAGGTCTTAAGTACAGACTCTTTTTTTCTTCTCTGAAGTACTGTAATTCTTCACTAATCCAATGCTAGCTATAATTAGATATGCCTAAATTTACGCAACTTATAAAAAGAGAAATGCATTCTTTTAAAGGATGAAGTGCATCCAAACTGCCAAAGGATATAAGAGCACAACTATATTTACTCTGATCTTGGCATACAGTTCTAAAGCAAACAACAAATTTGCACTTGGTCTTTAAACCCTCGCAACAAAGCGTTTTAGTGAAACAAAAGATTAGAAGCTGTAATAATCTAATGCCTGAATATCAACTGTAGAATTAAAAAGTCCTTAATTGATCAGTGAATAGGAAAAAGAAATACATCTAGAAGAACTTGCTAAAATATTATCAAGAACTCAAATGCCTCAAATTACTCCCCAAGCCTAACAGATTTAAGAATAGACAGCAACAATGCCTAAATTAAGGGAAAGGTAAAAATCTTAAAGACTATGAGCAAAATTCCTTTTATTTCACACCTATCAATTTTTTTAACAACAGTCCTATTTAAGTGAAACACCAAGAAAAAAATAACACTATAAGCAGAAACATAAGTTTATTACTTTCTGTCATTTATGTGATGAAATAATACTTGTAGCTCAATTATCCCTGCAGTTAGCAAAATATCTTCCACCTACCTTGAGAAGAGTTATCATCCTCTTCATCCAGTGTAAGATCAATGACACCTCCCGATTCACTTCCCGTGACCTTCCCGCTCTGAAAGACAAAACTCCTTCATTTTGCAAAAGCAAATCCAGAGAACACAGATGGAAAAGGGACACAAACTGAATATTCAGAAGGAGAGGTCTCAATTGATACTTATTACAAAGGAACTGATGAAATGAGCAGGAGAAGGAAATTTCAGACAAATATCCCAGGACGTGAAGAGCAGGTGATAACCAAGTGACTGTACTGCAGTAACAAGTATTAAAATATTTTTTGCTTTGTAAAGAGTAAAAACCACTGATGACTAGTAGAATATTGTTGTTTTACAGGTAAATGCATAACAATTTGCTGTTACAGGGTATAATTCAACTATGACTCTTAACATTTCAATCTGGTTGTAATCTGTGCTCTCCTCTGTAGTAGTATAATCTTTTGACAGAACAGTCACCAGGACAATATATTATTTATCTTGAGACAGCCTGGCCTATGTGGTTATAAAGACACTGACTTCACAATAAAAAAAGGGAAAAAGCTGCACTGGAACCCGTGTGCGTAAAAATGTATCAAAACCAATCAGAAAACTCCAATTGTATCCAGTAATTTCATTACTGCATTCTCACTCATTAGCACAAATTTTAGCATTCTGTTATTCTACACATGAATAATAACTCTACATATGAGTAGAGAGGTGTAATCATCCCTTTAGCATAAAAGGATCTTTTGAGCTAAATGTTATAACAAAAAGCTTTAGAGGACCATCAAGCAAGATTTATCTTCTGGATCAGCTGCTGTCCCTTGGCTGTTCAAACTGGAAGGAACAACAACAGTTTCCCTTAGGTGACAAAAAAATACAGAGGAGATCTTACATAATTCTGTGTTTTTAAATATACTTTCTAGGAAAAAAAATCTTGAATAATATTCTAGTTCCTCGCTGCAAAAATTAGGTGTGATTTCTTTGTTGTTGTTGATTTGTTTTGTGGAAGAGATGATCATTTATTGTTGGATTGAACTGCTACTGATTTACTCTAATCCATAAATTGAGTTCCTTAGGACAGGAAAAGGGTTATAAAAGCACCATAATTATAAAAAATCTCTGAGCAGTTAACATAGAAAAAAGGGTAAGAGTTATCAGACCCATATGGTCAAATGCCAACATGATATACTCTAGGAAGACTAGAGATTTTTCTGTCCATCAGATGGGGACAGATGCGCAAAGCCTAAGCACTGAGACTGCTCTATGACCTTTCCCTTTGGGTAAAACTAAGTCTTTAAGGAGGTCCAAAAGACAACTCTCACACAGGCAAAGCTCTGAGAGGCAAAAGAGGTATCAAATGGTAACTAAATGCAAGCAAAAGCTGTGTTTGAATTATCAGTCACTGAATCTGGAGTGCCTGACGGGACTGTTCTCTTCATTATGCATTATTACAGCCTGATTTCTTCTTGCCTTGAGTTCTGATGCTGCCACTGATGAAATTCTGCTAATAAATTATGATACACAATTTAACTAAGAAATATCTAACTACTTATGTTCACAGGTGATAGATCTCTATAGCGACTCTTATCTTTGCTAAACATAAACATAGTTCAGAATTATTAACCATGGAATTCTTCTGTTGAGTGGTTTCTATTTAAAGTACTTTCCAGCTTCAGTTTTCTTAGTATGATGAGCTGATTTATCCACTTGAACCATAAGATAAAAGGCACATTAAAATAATCAATGATAAATTGATTAGCATCAAGTTAAGAGGAATTTCATTCCAACTTGATGATCTTCCCAGTCAACAATGTGTATTTGACTGACAATTGGCTCTCTCTGCCAGGGGAAAGAAGATTGAAAAATGGAGAGGGAGATTTATAAGGAACTCGAAAAAGGAAAAAACTAACACCAAGATACTACTTTCTTTCCACTATAAAATACATTAGTCTGAAATAATTTCCTTTAAGTTCTTCCTCTGCAAGGAAATAAAAATCCTTAGAAAAATACTCTGTATGACAGCTGTTTTGAAGCCCTGCTTGACTGTGCCAGTCAATAAAGTTCTTAGAGCTTCCAAGTATCTGGAAGGCCAAAATCTGGAGTTAATTAAACAGGCAAGTAGTAAATCAGCTGACAAGCAATTCTCAGAGGAAAGACCTTCTCTTAGTCAGCCACACTATTCAAGGTTTTCTGCTAAATGACCCTGACAGCAACCTCCTCATCAGGAGCTATCCATCCATAAGTAGTTAGGTTCTTTCAGAAACCCACACTAGAAGCTGCAGATCAGCAGGGCAGCCTTTCGAGCGGTGCTCTGTGGTACATCGCCCAGTCTTGGTTCCAGGGCACACACTCCAGCTACTCCAAGCAGATGCTGTACCTAAAACACAGCACTCCATGCAGTCCTGACTCCCCAGCCTCCCCAACTAGATTCCCCTTTGTTCACCAACCATGCATTTCCCTCAAAGGAAAGATAGGGGTATAGGAAAATTTTAAGGAAACTTGAAATCCCCAAATGCCGAACACTGTGTTTCCTACCTAGGGGAGCACGGTGTAATCCCCACACAAAACACAGTACTAATTATGCCTGCCATAAAGGCATCCACCAACATTCAAAAGTAGGCAAAGTATCCATTTCTATATCCTGTAGTGTTGGCACACAGTTTTCAGATACCTGTAGGTATCGCAACTCCAGGAATGAGAAGGAAATTCAGAAACAAGTCTTTCAGCTCCTAATTTAGATTTCAACAAGCATTTGTGTAGAAACTGGTACAGTAGAGAAGCAAAGTCAAAGCATTCTGGTCTACTATGATTTTTTAGTTGTCTCCAAACACAGGAATCCAACAACATTAACCTGCCTCAGCTGATCTCTGCAGAAGAGCAAGATGATGAAGTCTTAACACCTTTTCATCAGTGCAGTCACACAAACGACATAATTAAAATCATTTAATGAGAACTCCAAACATATACCTGGTGCTTTAGTTCACATATTGCCTAGCAAGTCTTAATAACAAAAGATTCAATCATCTTAGCATATCAAATAAGCTGAAACAAAACCAAAAAACCTACATCAATATAAAGTGATTTGTATCTGTTTAAAATGTCAGAGTTACAAAAAACAAACGTAAAACCAAAACCAAAGCAAGGCAACCAAAGCAGACAAAATCAAACCTCCGCAAACAACCCTTTCATCATTTGTCAGAAACAGCTCACCACTCTCCAAACAGACCACAAGTCTCATTAAATCTGATGGTTTACAAATAGCATCTGGGTAATTTCTAGTAATCAAGCAGGAAAAAAGTTTTCAGTGAGACTGGAAAGAAATGTAAGCTGCCAAACTCCCTTCTCCATCCTTCTGAAAGGCTCATGTATCTTAATGTATATGCCCTTAAATTCCAAGTAAGTAGAAATCCTCCAAGATACTGCCAAGCTGCCATTTTGGACCTGTTTTATCCATAGCAGGTGAGCAAAGTTTGTACTGCCTGGAAGTAACAACATTACAGACTGAGCCATTCAGTTAACCACAACTGTATCTGAGCTGCCTTCATTTAAATTTCTTTCTCCTTTCATATGGCAGCCAACAGTGTAACAATCTTAAACCAATGCCATGAGAAAAGTGAATTAAGAATGGAATTAAAAATTAAACCTAACAAATCCTACTCTGGAATGTCAGAGTTTTAAATATATATCTGTGAAAAAAATATTAGGAAGAAAACAAGAAAAATACATGTCTTCATATTTTCCTAACTTCCTAATTTTAATATAGTCACGTGTTTATTCTTCAGCTGGTAGGTGAACTTAAATTTGCAGTTGAGATATTTTGCGTGAAAGCAATGTGTACGGTAACTGAACATTTCGTACTGCAATCTAATGTAGATCCAGTCCAAGAAGACGCATGCAAACTTGAGAGTTGAAAGGCAAAAACATGAGGTGAAGCCGGGGAAGAGGACTGCAAGATATGATTAAGAGCGGAAACAAAGCTGAAAAAGGAAGCAGGAGGAGGAAAAAAGGTAGCAGGGGAAAAGAAAATAACAGCCAAGCAGCAACTGAGCATGCACCACCACAAACACGGGAGGAGATGGGGTAAGTGTACTGTGGACGTTACTTTGCTATGCTCAGTGTTGCGCATCTCTCCTGAACCAGCCCACTACGGAGAAGACCTTTCAATTAACAATCTTGATCTGTTTTAAAAAGTGTGTTCTTTAAAGAAAATCTTGTAAAATTGCAGCCCCTCTGTCCCAGCTGCTTCAGTCTGCAAAGTCACGTCTGCACGGACTGCAATTACCAATATGTTAACTGTTTGCGTGCCAGATGCCCCAGGCAAGCATCTAACTTGGCAAGCGTGAAGGAAAAGTATTTTAATAGCAAGCAGATAACTTGTGAAAGCAGCAACTGAAAGACCCTAGAAGAAAGGGCACAACTGAAAAAGTAACTACTCATCCCTTTCAAATATCTGAGTGAAACCTGCTAAGACCTCAACCAGGTAGATGCCAAATCATAACCTCTTCTAAACACCTCTTCATCAGTTAAGCTGAAACTGTTTTATAGTGCATATGGGAAACAAAAGAATGAGAAGGAGGTATAAAATGAGTGCAACTATTGAGATTTCTGCTATTTTTTCTCATGTAATATTAAAAACTGATATTTCTAGTTGTTCTAACTGCAAAACTTTGCTAAAAAGTGATCTATAGTCCTGATTCTTCTGAGTAACGGTTTTCAGATTTAACCATGAAAACTACTAGAAACAGACTTTGTTTTAATTACTTATTCAAAATCTCTACTCGTATTTCAGTAATTACACTTTAATTCAGAATTTTCTACAATCAGTCAGTAAAAATGACCTATACTCACAATTTCATGCATTTTCTACTGCATACACACAGACCACACAGACCATATATCTGCTTTCTTCCAATCCCAACCATACTCATTTTAAAAATTAAAGCAAATACTGAGATACAGATGTACTGACAAATTAAGATATGGGGAGAAGCAGGAATAATACAGTTTTCTTTGAGAATGAAAATAATTATATAGCGACTTCCTGGAACCAGTGTCATGGATATTATAAAAATTTTTA